TGAAGTCCATGTGGTTTTGTGTGTGCGTTTGTGTGGGAATATGGTGCCGCTTATGACCAGTTTATTGAAGGCACATAGGTTTGCAAATCTCTCACCATTTTCGTTCCTTTCTCCCAGTTCATGTCCAATGATGTCTTCATATCCATTGTTGTCTGTTCCAACCTTGGCGTTGAAATCTCCAATCAGAATGGTCAGGTCCTTTGTTGGGCACTTCTTTATGATTGACTGCAGCATATTGTAGAATTGATCTTTAGCGTCTCCATTGTAATCATTGGTAGGCGCATAGCATTAGATGATGTTCATTGAAATGCCCTCTTTCTTTGTTTTGAATGAAGCTTTGATGATCCTCGGTCCATGAGATTCTCATCCTGTAAGTGCATTTTGTGCTTGTTAGGACAGCATCAGTGCAACTCCTTGTGTATGCGAAGCATTTTCTTCTTCATGAACGGAGTATGACAGAAGCGCCCCTGAAGCTAGTCGTTGTTGAAAAATTGCAGGGTTTTCTGAAATTTCTGGAAGACGTTTCATAGCTGCACCAGTCGGGTTATCCGTCTTTCATGATCTAAAGACAGATCGCCCACGTGAAGTGCTTCTTCGCTAGGTGTGTGATCGTTTACGGTCATTACGAAATCTAAGATGACGTGTAAGTGCATAATGTAACTCTGTTACGTCATTCTGGGTCGTTTGAGGTTTTTCTTGGACCGAAAGAACCTCGGCATTAGACGATTTCGTGATTTCAAGGATGCGGTTAGCAGATGCAGCCAGATCGTCTGCGGTGTTGTTTTGAAACGAGATCATCACAGCTTACACCTGTTGAAGGAGTTCGGATAAGAAAAGTTGTTTGAATAGGCCATCATCAGAAGGTTTTTGGCTGATAACCTCTCTCATTCTTTGCAAAATGTCTGTCGCAGAACCGTATTGCAGGCCGATGCCATTGTGTTGTTGATCTAATTTTTGTCGATCGGTGGGAACTTGGACCGATGCACATATGTGCCTGGTTCTACTTTGTAGCTCATTGACTGACTGACTGGATTGATTGAAGTTAGACCTTAACAGTGTTGGATGCTGGCTCAGTGGTCTAGATGTTAAGCGTTCGCTCGCGAGACTGAAGATCCCGGGTTCGAGGCCATTGTACGGGACGGGTGTTCACTCCCGAGAAGTTCCGTACTAGGATGAAATGGCCATCCAATGCTTCCAGGTTTTCAATGGTGGTGGTCTAAAAATGATTGGTTCATGATCTCAGTAAAAGGAAATCCAGTCACAACCGACTAAAGTTCAGATGGATTTTTCAAACTCAAATGAGTAACCATTATCACAGTGATCATGCATGTTGAAAGTCAAACAATTACTCAAAAAATCACAATAATGTATTGTATCTTCAACTAGCTGAACGTGTAATTGTTATCCATTAGTCCCATATTTAACAAATAAGTTTCACTTTTCTCATTGCAATCAACTGTAAGCTAGTAAAGGTAAGAACTATTAATAAATGTCGAATTCAAACAAATCAGTTCACTAACCGATGTTAGTTTCCATTTAAAATGATACTCAATCATACAATGATTATTTATCAAATTCATTATAATTCAGAACAATAAATACATCTAAGTGAACAATATCCTTCTTAATCAGATCTTCAATAAAATATCCTCATATGTTCAGTAGCTTTAAAATGAATTATGTGATAACTATTGAATGATTCAAGACATATTATAAGTTAACAATAAAACGAAAAGATTACATATTTGAATATATTGTGTAAATGGTATAGATTGATACTAAGGGGGTAGCTATAGTAGTAAATATATAAATAATGAATTGTATGATATTACCGTTATACAAAATAGCTGAAAGATTTCGAAAACAAACTTATATAAAATATATAATTAGTATCAGAAGGGGTTATTTGAAGATTTTAGCAATTTCAATAGTTGAGATCATGAGTCAATTGAAGCTAGACCACCATGGAAAGCCTGTAAGCATTGTGTTTGTGATAGTGTTCGTTTGTACATTAGTTGCACACATAGTTATATGTCCTAAATGCAGTGGAGGGATGAGAATTCAGGCTATTAAACTTGAAGTATAGGGTGATCCAGTCTTTCTCAAGAGACAAATAAATCCATATGATCTTCTGGAATACCAGCACATTTAAATGGAGTTAGGAACATGAGTTATGCTTTCGATGTCTACTAAGGGTTCTTTCAAGTGATGGTGTTCTTCGCACTTACTCTCGTAGTGTACATTTTGTACTTCATACTGATACATCAGCAGTGAGTATTGGTGGTGTTTTGGAACAGGACGTTAGATCAGTAATCTATGTTTCACTCAAACTTATTGCTGCTGAACAAGGATATTCACAAACACATTGAGAAGCATTAGTTGTATTTTGTTCTGTCAAACGACGTCATTAATATTTATTTCGAGAGACGTTCACTATTGCTACAAATCATGACACTTTCAAGTTCGTTCGTCATCGTGAAAAATCATTAGCACGTTCATCAGCTACTATGGTTTAACGATTCAGTAGAGAAGTGTCAAACACATTCAACATTTTGGTTGCACCACTTCACAGTGATTACAAGAAAAACCAGTTGATGTTGTAATCTGTTTATTTGTGCAAACTCTACCGTTGAGTCATCAAGATCTCAAAAGAGAAATTCATCGACACATCGGATGTATACTAATCGCTATACGAAAAGGTTGGAATGCTAGTCTAAAACATAGATTTCCTGTCTATTTTTGAAAACGGGGTGAGTTATCCACTACTCATAATGGTATTCTGTGATTAAGTGATGTTGTTGTTTTTCCTCATCCACTATATAAATCTGTCGTTGAAGATGTTCATAGTGGACATTTGGGTGTTGAGAAGATGAAATCCTTGTCAAGACTCACATGTTGGTGGTCGGAGATAAATCTAGATATATGTCGTACAGCAAGCAATTGTGAAAGACGTCATAAGTAGAAGTCATTCTTCGAAGTGGAGTCCACGACCAGTATCGTCTGAGTACTGGCGGTGAATTCATGCAGACTATTGTGGTCCATTTCTGGGAAAATACTATGCACTTGTTATTGAATAATTTTCCAAATGGCCTGACGATTTTTCACAAATTCACCATATTCTGACTTCACAATTCAAGCATTCATAAAAAATTTTAATCGGGAGGGAGTTCCTATGGTATTAATGATTAATAATGGCTCTCATTTTGTTACAGATGCAGTCACCACCTGGTTGAATACTATAAGGTGCGGACATTCATTCACCAACCCCAGGCACTCTTTTTCTAATGGTCAGATAGAAAATGTTTTGATTAGAACGTTGAAATATGCTATTATTATCGTTGCTGCTTCAACATTTGAAGTGGAGAGGGGAGTAGACATATTTATACTTCAATATAGAAGTGCTGAACATTCTGTGATGAGACTCCATCAAAGCTATTAAGAGGAAAGATTCTTCGTTCAATTGTGAGATGTTTAGAGTCTGTAGAAGTTACATATTATCGTGGAAATGATGTTCTACAAGCCACAGGGATTATGGTGAAGAATGTTGGAAAATCTATGATTCTGGTTCTAGATATCAATTATTTCAGTACACACGACCGACATGTTAATCGAATACAATTCCACGAACCACGTGAGTCTGTCACATTTTCGGTTGTCAATTCTAATACTCATGAGTACACTCTAGATCATTCAGATTAAATATCCAGATACACAGTCGGACAGGTACACGATCAACATAAGGAGAAATACAATCGACTAAGAAAGTTGAGATTCCAGTTTAAGCTGTGGCCTATGTAGTATTTGTACCAACTAATAATTCCTTTGTACTTGAGTGCTCGTTGATTACGAATTCCGACTATAATACGTTCGTTTATGCTCACCTAGTTCTGCCAGTCTTAAATTGCACTGTTTCGGGAATTCCTAGGGGGCGCATAAAATTGAATACTTTTAGTCAACATATATAGGCAGCTTAGAGTCCATTATTTCATTCAAAAGCATGAGACTGTGAAATTCTAATGTTGCAATATGATCTACTAAATTCTCAGTATTAGCAATTAATGGTTATAAATTGCATACACAAGGATGTTTTGAATTGCTTATTATAGATGACATCTCTTCATACGTGCTTTGAGAGATTTACGTAAATGAAACAAAATAGTCAACAGTAGATTTGAAAAGGCCTAAAGTATGACTGTCATTATTAGCTTCCAAAGAAAAATCTGATGCTTTACTCAAAACTGTGATAGCTGCCTGTGCTACGTTCAGTGGAGAGAGTGATCCAGTATTTCATAAGAGATGAATAATCTCTTGTCGGTTTTGAGAAGTAGTGCACAAGTTATTGAATGATTCATGTAAGAAAAGAATACATCTGGCAGTCACATCTTCACAATCGGTTACTCATATGGCAACGCCTTTGAAATTTAATGAAAAAACCCATAGAATATGTGCTGATTACACGTTTACACTGAAATCACGTTCGCTAAAGCAAACAAGTGCCATGCTTAAAGTCGGAGATATTCGTAATTAACTTCCTAGTTCTAAAGTGTTGTCTAAAGTTGGTTTAAAACATAATTATCTCCACATCCTCTTTGACTCAATCTCCGAATATCACAATTGATCTGGTTACTCTAGACTATATAGTTGAAGTCAGTTAAGCGATATCGTGTGACCATTACATTTTGTTTTAAGTGATATCTATCTCACTGCTGACAAAGTTGAACTCCACCGATGATTACGACTCATAACACAAGACTTCATAGATCTATTACAAAGATGGTCACTAATCAGCACAATATTAGTACCAGTATTATTATGATTAGAGGAAAGTTATGACGAACATTCCATCCACAAACATCTGTTTCATCAAATCCATTCTAGTTTCCATTGTTTCTGTACATGTAAAGTCGGTTTGTGATGAAAGATTTATGATCGGAAAAAAACTGAGAATCAACTCATTCCATGCTAATACATTTCTTTCGAGGTAATAACTGACAAAAGAGTTGGTTTTATTCTCAATTTATTTATTCATCGGTTAAATTAACAACATTAAACAAAATAAGTTACATTATAGAGAAAAATGAGAATAAAAAGATAGATTACGTCATCACAGGTAATGGTTACAGAGATTATTGAAAGATAAACACTATTGTTCTATTGTGTAAAAATCAATCTGACCATTCTGAAGGCAACACATAATCCTCACAGGATCTTTATTGAAAGTGATCAATTTCGTAATCTGCTCGCCAGTTGGATAAATTTTGATCTAATCCAATAGACAAAATAAAAAAAGGACGTGAAAATGTTTAAAAATCAATCCAAATGACTAACCACTAGTTTTTTCACAGTTTGTGTCATTCTTAACACCTCTTGGAGCCCCTCTTGGGCTACTGCCAATCCCAAGGCTAGATGAAGGAGGATGGTTGTGCATAGGGTTAGCGACCCAATCCTGTAGAAAACTAACTCGCTAAAAAACGCTAACCACATAAAACAATTCAGACACGGCGGTGTTTCATTCTTTTATTATAAAAGTCACTTAAAATAAACAAAGAGATCGCACTCTACAAAATATTCTACAATATATTCCACTATAATTAAGCATACAGTCACCATCACCACACGCACAAACACACACACACACACACTGAACAAAGTGCGACCTACTACTTCTAAAATGATGAGTAGGCAGATTTTTAGAGAATTTCGGAATCACAAAGATCAAGTATCAAATATATTTATGCATCGAATTAAACTTTGTATGTATATTTTTAACTGAGAATCGATCACGAGAATAAAAAGAGGAGGTTTTAAAACGAAGGAGGAATACATTAGAAACGACATAATGTATGCATCAGCATAAATCACCACACTACACATTAGCAATAGCGACAAGCAACTGATAGAAAGAGGGTCAAAGAAGTGGAAATCGTATATTGTCGTTAATATTGTTACATGTCTATGTGATTGATTGTGACTTTTGAACAGATGCAGCACCAATCTTAGCACTTATGATATGGTGGAATTTTCCTGAGATTATTCAAACTAAATGAGGTGTACATATTATCGTTTCCATTAAATTGTATGACTTAGATTCTGGCTTACGGTAAATTGTCTACACATCCTTCTCTCATCTCTATAATTCCACCATTCAAGTCATCATCACATTTGAAATACTGACAAGTTATTTTCAACATTGACCGACCATTACGATTTCGACACAGATTAATTACTTGTTGGTAATCAACTACATGAATGCAGATACATCTAGTGGCGAATACCATCTGTAATGATACTTCACTCTTTGCATTTCTACTTAATACTGATATATTCTAACTTAAATTTATGTTTTACAACTAAACAAATCTGACACTATTTCAGCAGTTATGGCATTTAATAGGGTTGTAGTCTGAATACTAATCCAGTCATTATTTGTACAGCTAGTTTCTGACTAACCTAGATATTCTTCGAGAGAGATGAAACAGACTTTGTAGATAGATTCATTCTCAACAGCGTGATAATGGTGTTTATAATTAGTGGATATTCTGTCGGCAGTCAAACTGGTTCACATAACGTTATGTAGGCTCAAACTTTAGCTACATTAGCAGTTCACTTTTCAAACCAAGATATGCCACCTACACATTTGTACTTTACTTGAAATTAGGAATTTATAACATTTGCACATTCTCTGTATCTGTTCTGTTGAGAGATGTGGAGGCTTTAACCAATGTAATAATATGCTAGGTTTGATATATTATTATTATATTACCTATATCAACAGATACTTCAGAATATTGTTTGTTCAATGTACCACCACTGAAATATGTATTATGGTGTACATGTGTGTCGTGTAAATAAATGTGCACTGAAAGATTTTTTATTTACAATAAGTGTGTGTGTGTGTGTGCATTTATCATTTTTTGTAAATGGTTGTGGAGATTGTTGAGCTTAGACTGATATCATGAATAAATCCACATTCTCCGTATCTGTTCTGTTGAGAGATGTGGAGGCTTTAACCAATGTAATAATATGCTAGGTGTGATTGCATCATGTTCTTCTCCTTATACATTGTATAAATCATTAATGAGAGGATAAAAGAAATAACGAAATCTTCTGAATAAAGTATAAAATTCATGGAATACTTTACAATGAGTTTAATTAAATTCACACTAGTAATTAGTTTTAACGATACAGTATCTTTCCATGCTTACGTGATTTATTTTGACTTTTGAACAGATTAGTTGCTCTAATATTTTCAATCATTCGGTTATTTATGTATATGATATTGAGTACGTTTGCATAATAGTATTTATGTATCTATATAATTGCTGGTAACTATTTCATACTTATAAATGTTTAGTCATTCTTTATTCATTAACTTGTCCATTTCAACCCTTTCAAAAATTATCTTTATTTCTCTTCGTTTCTTTTCCTTAATCTGCATTAATGAATCTCTAAAATATGCGTTTTTCGATTAATTTTGATATTTAACCTCATACATTTACAATTTTGTCAATGGGATTTTCGAAATTGTGTATACAAATTACATAAGATCCACATTTCATGAACATCAATAAATGTTTGACTTTATCGAGTCAAACAATGGATGGAACAAAATAGTTGTATCAATGAAAGAAGAAAAAAAAACTAAATAGACAGAATATAGCAATTAATAGAAAGAATTCAGTTAAAGAGTAAAAAGTACAAAGTAATATTTAAATATGAGGATTTACAGGATGATATTTGCTGTAACCATTGGTCATGAGAATTGTGAAATTCTCAACACGGCCAAAATTAACAAACAGTCACCATTGACCATTTTTATACTTACTCATTTTTATGTAACTGTAATTACTATACTGGGTAACAACTGATGGAAGTACTTGCATAATGCATGCCCTTAGAGCAGTTTAGTTGACAAAAGTTCACAACCTTACATAATAGCTTACCATAGTAATTTATTAACCAAGCCCTATAATTAATATTAGGTACTTGGTGGTTCCACTATGTGATACTCAAGATATTTATGATTACATACCAGTAACCCATGTACCCACATATGTCCTCCTCTTCCAGAGGCTATGTACTACACATAGAAACACAAAAGTTGTGAAGACATTGAGGTACGATCATAGTTAGGAAGTTTTGGGATTTTCCATTGGTATTGTTATTATCTCACCCTTTGGTGAGTACATATCTTGTATATTACTTTAAATACTACACATTTATCACATACTTAAGTTTGGCCATGGAAAATTATCTGAAATACTAAAATACGAGTGTGCATTTGTGTAAAGTACATTTTTAATCAAGTTGAGATCAATTAACTACCAAATAGATGATTTTATCAAAATTCCAGAAAAAAAGTTTAATATAAAGACCATATGTTTATGGAATAAGGATAACGTTATGATGCTTAAAACGGTGAAAATATAATTTATAGACGACCTTTGGGAGATGCTAAACTAAACTTGAGAATGTCCACTTACCAACTAGGACTAAGTGAGGGTTATAAACCAGTGTGAGAAATAAGGATTATGATTTACAGTTAATGGTTAGGGTTGGGAATTAGATTTACGGTTTTCACCACGAACTGATATCGGCTATAGTGCCAAAACTCTATTTAGCCAAATGGATGAATGTTTTTCACGCGAAAATTCGAAACTCTTTATCTTAAATCTGATTATTTCGTCCATCAATTACAGTCCCGCCGCTTTTGAATCTACCGTTTGATTAAAATACTCATATTGCAATATGAAACATACGATAGAAATAAGGACAGTGATTATTCACTTCTTACCTGTTCCCATTTGCTTAGTTTCGAATTATTACAAACATTGATAGAACATTTCAACAAACGTAGAAAACTATCCGACGTTGCCAACAATAAATACACTATTAAATTTTCATTGTCAAGATGAGTTGAAGTGATACAATAAGCAGTGACTTGTAAATCCATTTCTTCCAGCTAAGGATAAACACAGTTACAATGTGATTATTTATGACCAGTAAAATTTGAAATAAACAATTCAAAATACTTCTTTATAAACTTTCCATCAAATAGTAAATTCATTTGGTGTGACACTGAAAATTAAAAAGCACTAAGCAGCTTCTTTATTCTTTGGTTGACAATTGATTCCTTAGTGAAAAGCATCAGTGATCGCTCCAGAAATTGAATTCACGAGCCTAAAGTGTTTCTGTATAGTTTACTATTAAATTTGACCATTGATAAATTATATGTATCACGCTGTGGAGATAGTTGAATTTCATTGAAATTATGAACTGATCTAAGTTGGATCGACACTGAAGATCTGAATGTGCGGGATGGCCAATTCTTCTTAGCACGGGACTCCTCAGAAATACAAATCTACAAAATTAACACCAAGGTCTAGACGTTAAGCGTTCACGCGTGAGACAGAAGATCGTGGATCCAACTTTCACGCGGACAGTCGTGGATATGCACTGCTGAGGAGTCCCATATTGGGACGAAACGGCTATCTAGTGCTTCTATGTTTTCAATAGCTGTCTAACTTGGATCAATTCACGATTTCAATGAAATTCAATAATCTACATAACCCTATATCCACAGTTAAATAACATAAACAATGTTCAGAATAAAATAATTATATATAAAATCTATTTCTAACACCATTAACATAGATGAACTGAACTTTTTCACATTATAAAACTATCAGGTTATGTACCCACCTACACATTCATTCAAATATCATAATAACATGATATTAACATAACCAGACATGTTTTAATTGTAGTAAAAAACAAACATTAATTGAACCTAATTTAATCAATTACTAATGCATAATACTCACTGTTTACTACAATCTATATATTACATTGTGATTATGCTCAGAGCTTATTAACAAGGCATCTAAGAAAACTACTAGAAATATGAAAAGTTCACTTTAAATCTATGTTCAAACAAGTCATAGTAACTATTGAAAAGAATTTTTTTGCTCTACTTTTACGTGTAAACAATAGTAACTAACCGAAATATTCAATAGCATATGCTCATCACTATTAAAGAAGATAATCCGTGGTTCAGATTTTAATTTGCTTGTTACAATATAAAATCTAAATGAACAAAAAAGAAAAACAAACAAACAAATAAAATCAGTTTGCCAAATTATAATGTTGAGTGTAAATATGAAATTTAACTGGAATGAGAACGTTCAGTCATTTATTTCTCCCTTCTTTTATCTAAAATAAACAAAGAAAAATTGGTTCCGTTACGCACTCTACACAAATCTCTATTTCATTCATCTGATAAGGCTTAGTATTGTATATCGATAATAAAGAGAAGACGATAGATCAAGTGTATAGCTATAACACAATGTATTAACGAGCAACTACTGCAAGACACATTGGGGATACTGAACAGTATAATATATAATCATAAACAGTAGACTATAAATATGAAGTTCACTTGATATTGTTTTATTTGAATCTTCCCATTGATGTTTTAGGACTGAAATTGATCAGTCTCTTATTGGCATATGTGCATACTGTGCGTATGCCTCGATATTGCCTTAATTTACAAGCATTATAAGCAGAGATGGATAGTGGCTAGCAGTGGAATCCAGGACGCGCGTTTCGTCCTGTTTGGGACTCGTCAGCTGGATGTACCTGCATCTCAGAGTTGATGTTCACTCTGGGACTCGAACTCAGTACCGTTCGCTTCAAACGCCATCGCGTTATCCACTTAGCTACTGAGTCCTGATAGCCACTTGCTTGTGCAATGGGGTGAAGTTTAATTCACTTGATATTGTTTTATTTGAATCTTCCCATTGATGTTTTAGGACTGAAATTGATCAGTCTCTTATTGGCATATGTGCATACTGTGCGTATGCCTCGATATTGCCTTAATTTACAAGCATTATAAGCAAAGATGGATAGTGGCTAGCAGTGGAATCCAGGACGCGCGTTTCGTCCTGTTTGGGACTCGTCAGCTGGATGTACCTGCATCTCAGAGTTGATGTTCACTCTGGGACTCGAACTCAGTACCGTTCGCTTCAAACGCCATCGCGTTATCCACTTAGCTACTGAGTCCTGATAGCCACTTGCTTGTGCAATGGGGTGAAGTTTAATTCACTTGATATTGTTTTATTTGAATCTTCCCATTGATGTTTTAGGACTGAAATTGATCAGTCTCTTATTGGCATATGTGCATACTGTGCGTATGCCTCGATATTGCCTTAATTTACAAGCATTATAAGCAGAGATGGATAGTGGCTAGCAGTGGAATCCAGGACGCGCGTTTCGTCCTGTTTGGGACTCGTCAGCTGGATGTACCTGCATCTCAGAGTTGATGTTCACTCTGGGACTCGAACTCAGTACCGTTCGCTTCAAACGCCATCGCGTTATCCACTTAGCTACTGAGTCCTGATAGCCACTTGCTTGTGCAATGGGGTGAAGTTTAATTCACTTGATATTGTTTTATTTGAATCTTCCCATTGATGTTTTAGGACTGAAATTGATCAGTCTCTTATTGGCATATGTGCATACTGTGCGTATGCCTCGATATTGCCTTAATTTACAAGCATTATAAGCAGAGATGGATAGTGGCTAGCAGTGGAATCCAGGACGCGCGTTTCGTCCTGTTTGGGACTCGTCAGCTGGATGTACCTGCATCTCAGAGTTGATGTTCACTCTGGGACTCGAACTCAGTACCGTTCGCTTCAAACGCCATCGCGTTATCCACTTAGCTACTGAGTCCTGATAGCCACTTGCTTGTGCAATGGGGTGAAGTTTAATTCACTTGATATTGTTTTATTTGAATCTTCCCATTGATGTTTTAGGACTGAAATTGATCAGTCTCTTATTGGCATATGTGCATACTGTGCGTATGCCTCGATATTGCCTTAATTTACAAGCATTATAAGCAGAGATGGATAGTGGCTAGCAGTGGAATCCAGGACGCGCGTTTCGTCCTGTTTGGGACTCGTCAGCTGGATGTACCTGCATCTCAGAGTTGATGTTCACTCTGGGACTCGAACTCAGTACCGTTCGCTTCAAACGCCATCGCGTTATCCACTTAGCTACTGAGTCCTGATAGCCACTTGCTTGTGCAATGGGGTGAAGTTTAATTCACTTGATATTGTTTTATTTGAATCTTCCCATTGATGTTTTAGGACTGAAATTGATCAGTCTCTTATTGGCATATGTGCATACTGTGCGTATGCCTCGATATTGCCTTAATTTACAAGCATTATAAGCAGAGATGGATAGTGGCTAGCAGTGGAATCCAGGACGCGCGTTTCGTCCTGTTTGGGACTCGTCAGCTGGATGTACCTGCATCTCAGAGTTGATGTTCACTCTGGGACTCGAACTCAGTACCGTTCGCTTCAAACGCCATCGCGTTATCCACTTAGCTACTGAGTCCTGATAGCCACTTGCTTGTGCAATGGGGTGAAGTTTAATTCACTTGATATTGTTTTATTTGAATCTTCCCATTGATGTTTTAGGACTGAAATTGATCAGTCTCTTATTGGCATATGTGCATACTGTGCGTATGCCTCGATATTGCCTTAATTTACAAGCATTATAAGCAGAGATGGATAGTGGCTAGCAGTGGAATCCAGGACAGTATGCACATATGTCAATAAGAGACTGATCAACTTCAGTCCTAAAACATCAATGGGAAGATTCAAATAAAACAGTATCAAGTGAATTAAACTTCACCCCATTGCACAAGCAAGTGACTATCAGGACTCAGTAGCTAAGTGGATAACGCGATGGCGTTTGAAGCGAACGGTACTGAGTTCGAGTCCCAGAGTGAACATCAACTCTGAGATGCAGGTACATCCAGCTGACGAGTCCCAAACAGGACGAAACGCGCGTCCTGGATTCCACTGCTAGCCACTATCCATCTCTGCTTATATAAATATGAAGGTTAAATTTAGACATACTACTTGAAGGAATAGATGAACACGCAAATATTGACGTTATGTTACGTCTATTACATGTTTTCTCGTTTAGACATTTGATAAATAACCAGACTTTAGTCAACCAGTCTAGGTTAATTACATTTGTAAGTTTATAAAAATTGTTGTTACATGTAGTTCAGACAGAACTTGAGATATCATACAACATGTCTAGATTATTCAACATACCACCAATTTTAAATAATAACGTCTAAATATATTGGTCGATAGAAACTGATCAGAACTGAAGAAGGATTCAATATATACGACATTGATCACTAGGCGGTGACCAGTCAATTGGAAAAACAGGAGGTCAGTCGTGACCCGGATAGCTCGGTGTTAGCGTCTCGGACTGTGAAGCTGAGTGACAGAGGATCGAATACATCAGGAATCACCGCTTACTTTAAGATTCAGTGTACACCTTGCTATCCAGTGCCGAATAGAATGAAACCCAGATCCAAGGTTTACTGTCGGCTCAGCGTTTTGTACTTACGATTATGCATACCTTTTCTATGAAGTTTTAAGCATCATAACAAGCCATTGATTCCATTTGTTATTTTCTGATATAACGGCTGAATAAAAATATTTACTATTTCAGCCTGTTACATTACGCTAATACAATAATACGGCCGGTGAACGAGGTTTCGCTACCACTAGTCTGCATACTCGATTGCTAAGTTGTACATTGACGATACCACGTTATAACAAATATACAAATCACAATCAATAATACAGAATCGAAGCATATGCTGGACAACACTATATTCAACACAATGACTAACAGTTACACTCAGTGAGTCCAAAGTAGAAATCAATAATAGGTAAGAAACCAAAAATTAAGTAGTCAACAAGATAGGTATCTATCTATTCACCCTCCACGGTCAGTCACATCTATTTTCACTGTCCACATATACTGGGACGAGACGGCCGTCCAATGCCTCCAGAATTTCAATAGTTGTCTGACTTACATCAGTTCATCATGATTTTAGTGAAATTCAACGACCTACACAACCTCTTACTGAAAAGCATTCTTTATGCTTAATTACGAAGTAAGTTCATGACAAATATTTCTATCCATTTGTTTCAGAATTTTTCATTTTCTTTCTTCTAGATATACTACTGTATAAAATGGAACAACTTGTTAAAGGTACTCTACATTGTTTATCATCCACATTAGTGCTATGAATAAGTTTTAGTAGGTGTTCAAAACAATGGTGTAAAGATATTTTTGTAAGAACAAAATGAAACTTACAACTTGAAACTATTTCCGTTAGGTAAACAAAGTGGTTCAATTCTGTCAATATAGATATTTTCCAAATTATTGATAGATCCACGAAGTGGTGTGAATACATTTGCCTAAAATTTTATACGTAAGTATAAATGATAGTTATACATTAACTAAAAACAATTCAAATATATAGGAAAAAAAGACGTTCGGTTCCAAATGTCCAATTCGAATTCTATTCAAAACATTACCACATATGTGTATGATCTTGGTGTATTTTCATAAGCATTATTGCATTAAAAATACTACACAGTAATTAAATCTCTTAGATACAAATCAGTATCCTTGTTGAATTCAACTCAGAATTTATTTACGAATTTCTATGTATTTGTTGGATATAGTTTTCGGGACATGCTCACTAAGCCTTACTTTTTACAAGATGCAAAATCTTAAACATTTGACTATCAATCAGGGCCATTGATGAACAAAGAAAATAAACAGAAAGAAAGACTATATATTTATGGATGAATCAATCAAGTATAAGATAACAGGTCTTGGATTGTAGCGCAAAATTCATTCATCCATTTGGCTAGATAGCGTTTTGGTATTTTAACTGATATCAGTTTGTGATAAAAACTCTAGATCTAATTCCTCACACTGGTTTATAACCCTCATTTAGTGCTAGTTAGTAGGTGGATATTCTCAAGGTTACTTTCGCGTCGCTCAAGAGTCGTCCATAAATTATAGTTTCACCGTAAATCCTACTGACAGTTTATAGACTAAATTACATATGTAGAAATACCATTACATAGTAGCTAAATTTACAGAGTTTGCTAAGTACACACGTCATTGTTCAGTACTGAAGAACTATTTATTTTCTTCTGTAATAAACTACGCGACATTCTACTAAATGAAATCGGCTATTGGGACTTAACTCAGATGAATTGTGAAAGTAGAGAACATGTGTCACTTACATAAACATAAGATAATTCAGCAAGTTATATACTGAGTTAAAACAACTACGTAATAAGCGATATTACTTAACTCTTCGTACAATAAAATGTAGCATAGATTTGTGCATTTTGAATTAAATCTAGTTAAATTGATAATTATAAAAGAAATAAGTATGATACATAGAATATCACTTACACTATGATCATCAAATGGATGAAATAAAGCTGATCCATTATGTGCTACAAGTATACCATCTTGATATGTACATAATGAACTGCACCAATGACTTGAAAGATTACAGATAAATAAAATAAATATCATGCAGCAATATACAATTTTAATAACATGCATTATTATAAAAGTAATAAAATGGTAAACAACAAACCAATAACACTTAGTGAATATTGATAGTTTTAATGATGATTAAAATCAGTTAGTCTTGGAAAGCATTCACTTAAGTGACAATTTTTCATCATCATCATCCCTAAATCACGTTAAATATACACAAACTCATTGCAAATATTTGCTTTTATACAAATAAAGAGTTGTCCAAGAAAACACCGATTAAAAACCCTATCATGCATATGTGCACCATTTGTTTGGATCCTCAAGACCGACGAATCCGGTTGAAGTACCAGACATTCGCTTTCTGTCCTCTCGATTTGGTAAACAACACCCTCGCCATGAGAAGGCAGTGATGAGTAAGACTTCCCTAGCAGAGATTGTATACGCATGGCCATGTAAGAGCATTTCGAGAGGGTGAGATGACTCTCCCCTCCCTCGGCCATATCAAGGCTTTCAAGATTTCGTAGACAATTTCGTGATGCATTTTAAAATTAAAAATTTTCAAAAACTATAATCATTTCTGTTACTTGATGATTCGTTTGTCTAATTATTCAAATTAATGAAACTTAACTATTCATGATTATATTCTACCTAGAAAATTACGCACAACACAGTTTAATTTCACTAACACTGAAATTATTCAGCTACATAAATACACTTAACCAACACAATAATAAACAATCAATTTGATCTTTATTTCAGTTATTAAATAGATCAAACATAAAACTACTACAGATTGATGATGATGATAAGTCAATGAGACTTATTTATTTAGCTGTTAGGGAGAGAAAAGAAAACTCTATGAACTTTAACGAGAATTACAAGAATCTCATAATACAGTATGGAACAAAGTGTGTTTACAGTGACTCATTTGAAATACATAACATAAACAACAACAAATCGTGAATCAACTTTGGTTTACTTTTTTTGTTTTTGTTTTGAAAATATACTTTTTAAGTAATGTGGTAATACAAAACTGTGCTGAATTCATTCAGACAATGGATTAATTAGTCACTGAAGTAAATGGTACATTTTAACGTTATTAATTATCTAAATATGATATAAATTCTATAGCTGAAATTAAAAAAAAAATTTTTTTCTATGAACTTTAATGAGAATCACAAGAATCTCATAATACAGTATGGAACAAAGTGTGTTTGCAGTGACTCATTTGAAATACCTACAATGTATACTTATCTACTTTTATTTTGTTTTTTACTGAACAATGACTATTCAATATTTCAACTCTAATTTAGTCAAGAACTTTGTAACCTTGTGTAAAATATATTTTCACAAACCTATTATCACATCATGGATGCGCACTGCTGAGGAGTCTCATACGAGGATGAAACGGTCATCCAGTACTTCCAGGTTTTCTATGGTGGTCTAGCTTCAATTGACTCATGATTTCAACTATTGAAATTACTAAAATCTCCACAAAACCCCTTCTGATATTATCACATTTGTTACATAGATGTATGTGTGTGTATGTTGTATCATTCTTTATCTTATCCGCTGCATACGCTTATTCGTAATTGGTTTATCTCTTCATATACATTTTCAAAATATGTTTCCGGAACACTCGTATTCCAACAGTTGATAAACCCTTGTTGTTCTAAGCGTGTTAAGTTGACAAAATATACACGACATTAGTAAGGATCTACGATTCATTAGTATAATCATTCATCAGCTTATGGAGTCAACATCGATCTGTTACCCTGAATTGCCATAACACATCAGTAGAACCAGATGAAATTAATAAGGAAATTAAAATCGCCGGTAGGAGCAATAATAGTAAGCGTAAAGAATGTAGTTCGAGAGGATGGAATGGGAAGTTAGATAGGGATAATTATCATGACTTATGATCGAGAGGATCAAAGAGGGTGAATGTGTTAGCACAACTCGAAGACTCTACACATTAATATTCCATTTAAAATCAAGTTAAGATTAAGCTAGTGAAAGTGTGTTCATGATAAAAGATTCACCATCAATGAGAAAGTTTCGTCAATGAACAGTGAAACATGTAAAACAAAAGTATGAGCATGGAGCTTAACTGATTATTAGTGAATATTTAAAAACAAATGAGCTATCTATGGATAAGGGGCACGTAAAAAAATGCTGATATGTAGATAAACATTTACAACGTAAAATAAAACGAAAAAAAATCCACTTACTTATCTCCGACACGAAGGTGAATGAGTTCATCGTCTGTACGTTTAAATGGAATAATGACAATTTCACCATTGGACAAAAGTGCTACAACACCACACTGATTCATATTAACTGGTTCATGATGTAAAGCAGACATTTCGACAACGATATGGTCTGTTTTAAATCTTTATCGCGAAAAGAAAATCACAATATCATGTTAGAGTAAAAATAAAAGGATCATGGAAACACTTTAAATAATGAAATGATACAAATAACTACATTTCGTTATGAGAAATGTAACTTATTTATTAAGTCAAGACATTTGTATCAAGACATAACGTTTATGTGAGAATTAGTGCTACAACACTCGGGCATCTATAGCTAAGTTGCTAGAATAAAGTTTGAACATCAAACCCAACGGTTGAAAAACAAATAATTCACCCATTCATTAAGTCACTGTTCTATATCGACATATAATAGAAACAATTAAAACATTTGTGTCTAGGTTTTAAAAAGTGTCTGCATAAAAGCTACTTCATTCAATGAGTTCAACATTGAATTAAACAAAAATCCAACTTAATGTCTTTAAGTAAAAGACAATGTTTGTCTGCACGAAATATAAAAAGATGGTTAATTTTTTCAGATAAAACTTCACTGAAAGAAAGAAGCTACAATTAAGTAAATTGAATTCATTGAATTTACTCAATTAGTTCATACTTGAATCAAACCATTGCAAGTGACTGTACTCAATAAAGCAAGGATGAAGAATAGGAAAGCAATAAGCATACGGAATATACACGACAGCGAAGCAATAAGTATTATACGTTGCATTATAAGGTGTTAGAACAAGCATTCTGTACTATTGTTGATATCTATCAAGTGACTGACACCCCTTCCGCCTATAGGGAACTGAAATTTAAAAATGAGAGTAATAAATATGAGTGAATTCCACAATCCATAACAACATTTCGCATTATCTGGCTGTGAATAAATATTTATTTCTAAGTCTATTAATGACAAACATAGTTTGCACTGTGTTTGAATTACAAAAAATACTATGTGAGTGAATCAATAGAGTTAAGTAGCTGTGAAAAAACTGTCTCAAATATGCAGTCATGAAACAGTGAGACACCTTGAGAATATCATTAAAATCATAAGCTGACACCCAAGTTAGAAAACTATTGGAAGCCTGGAAGCGCTGGACGACTGTTTCGTTCTTCTATTGGACTCCTTAGATGTGTGCATCCATGACTTCACAAGCAGAGGACAAATCTGAGAACTTCAGTCTCGTGCACCACCACTTAACCTCTAGATAGCTAGTCGCGGGTAGGAGTGATATCCGGAAAGTGAGTTTTTTGCCTATTTAAAATTAGTCAGATGGATGTACCCTCATCCTAAGTGTTACTATTCACACTAAGTCTTGAATCGAATACCTTTCACTTCAAACATTCAACGGATTATTCCCTTAAGCTATAGAGTTCAATATATCCCTTTTCTAAAAAAGAATTACATATTTCAATAAATATTATAACGTTACCTTTGTATTTCAGCATAACCATCAATTGTTTTAATTGACCATAATGTATTTAATTCAACAATATTTATATCCAATGGTTTTCCATTTGAAAATAACTTTAATAAACTATTTTCCAAATCAATTTTATTAATTAAAATATCATGATTAAGGTGTATGTGCAATATTAAAATCTCATAACCGAAAGCAATAAAAATGAAATAATCTATTTCCTTTTCTTCATTATTCATTGTCCATGATTGTGTAACAATACTATTTATACTATATCTTGGTTTCATATCTGAATTAATTAAACGCATCAATGGTTGATATGTAGTGGTAGCAGTAGTTATAGGTTTTATTGATTGAGAAGTTGATGAACCGCGAGCAGCCCAAATAATACAATCACCATCAGCTGAACCAGTTATACAAAGTTGTAAATTCTTTGTCACATACAGATAATTAGCACATATAACTGGTCCAGTATGTTGAAGAGTTGGTTTACCTGAAGAAAACACGTAGGGGTAACATTGTAAGATTTATTAATTTTTCTAGGAATATTATCAAAAACATATCAAGACAAAACCATCCTTCTGTAAATGACAGGAATTATAAAAGATCTTGTAATGATACTTTGGTTTTACCTTACTATAAGGTACACAAACCCACCAATGACAGCAACGACGATTATAAAGATCAGTTCTATGGAAAGTTGCAATTAATCGTAGCGAAGAGTTCAAGAAAGGACCTAACCATTAGGATGGGAGACCTAAACACTAAAGTCCAAATGGACAACACCGAATATAAAGATATCATGGGACGAAATGGACTGACTAGGAGAAACGAGGCAGAATGGTGACAGATTCCAAAATTTATGTCCGTTCCACGAAATGGTTATAGGTGGCACAATAGTCCAACACAAACGCATACACAAAGCTACATGGTTCTCACCAGATCACGCTACACAGAACCAGATAAATCAATAAAAATTTCAGAAGCTTTATGGAAGACAAGAGAACAAAGAAAGAAACTGACATATCTTCAGATCACCACCCGGTGATTGACAAGATGAAACTAACGCTAAAGAAGCAGTGGGTAACGAATACAGCCTTCCTTCGAGATACTCACAAACTCAACGAATTCAAAATAGATCCCAGTAATGGGTTCCAAGCCTTACAGGATCTACGGAAGAAACTACGATGGAGCATTAACTTCAACGTGTCAGGAGGCTCTGGGCCGCAAGACGTTTCATCATAAGTAATATATTTCTATGGAAATCAGCGTCAGGATTCAAGAAAAGAAAAACAAGAAGACAGCAATTGACAACGACCAAGCAAAAGCAGGGAAAGTCAAGGAACAAGCTGAATGCACTGAAGCGAACAACAAAGTTAAGAGGAGCATTAGAACCAGCAAGCAGAAATATGTGTAAGAGCTATCAATGACACCGAAAAAGCTGCAAGAGAAGGAAATATGAAACAACTATGTGACACGACTAAGAAACTAGCAGGGAGAGATCGGTCAAAGACAAAGAAGGCAGGCCAATAACTGAAATTCAAGGACAGAGGAACAGATGGGTGGAACACTTTGAGGAACTCTTGAATAAACAACTCCATTAAATGCACCGGACATCGAAGCAACGCCTACAGATGTCACTCCACCAACGATAAAAGAAATCAGGATGGCCATCAAGACCTGACAATATAAAAGCTGAAGCTCTAAAGTCAGACATAGAAGCAAATGCAAAGATGCGCCACATTCTATTCAGAAAGATTTGGGAGGAAGAACAAGTGCCGGCAGACCGGAAAGAAGGACGCCTCATCAAGATACCAAAGAAACAAGATCTGAGCAAGTGTGAGAATTACAGAGGCCTCATATTATTGTTAGTACCAGGAAGGATTGCTGAACTGCATGAAAGATTCAGTAGACGTCCAACTTCGAGATCAACAAACCGGATTCCATAAGGATCGGTCGTGCACAGACCAAATCGCTACACTGCGAATCATCGTTGAATAATCAATTAAACGAAACTCGTCACTATACATCAACTTCTTTGACTATGGGAAAGCAGTATGAGTTAAGAATGATGTTGATGATTTTCTCAGGTACACCATGGTGTCAAACAAGTTTTCATATTGAGAAGTAGTGCATGGAGAACAGTTGACAGATGCATTCCAAGTGAGGGGCAGAGTCAAACAAGGATGTTTACTTTCCTCCTTTCTTTTTCTTCTGGTGGTTGAATGGTTTATGAAGACCTCGACATTTGAGAGGAAGCATAGAATACAATGGACAGCTCAAAATTAATTAGAAGATTTAGACTTGGCAGATAACCTAGCTCTTCTATGCTATACACACAAACAAATGCAAATGAAGACAACTAGTGTAGCAGCAGTAGACCTCAACATACACAAGGGAAAAAACCAAGATCCTCAAATATAACAAAGAGAACACCAACCCAATCTCACTTGATGGAGAAACTTTGGAACAGTTGGGATCTTTTACATACCTAGAAAGCATCATCGATGAACAAGGAGACTTTGATGCAGACGTAAAAGTGAAGATCGGCAAAGTAAAAACAGCATTCCTACAGTTGAAGAATATATGGAACTCGAAACAGCTGTCAACCAATATCAAAATCAGTACGAACGTCAACACAATCCTACTGTACGGAGCTGAAACGTGGAGAACTACTAAAATTGCCATCAAAACGGTACAAGCATTTATAAACAGTTGTCTATCCAAGATACTCAATGTCCGTTGGTCAGATACCATCAGCAACAGCCTACTTTGTCAGAGAACAAACGATTTTCCAGCTGAAGAGGTAATTGGGAAAAGACGTTGGAAGTGGATAGGACATACATTACGGAAATAATCAAACTGAGTTACGAGATAAGTGCTAACTTGGAATCCTGATGGGAAATAGAAAATTGGAAGATCCAAGAACATGGTGCGTGAGGAATCGGAAGCAGGCATCAAAAGAATGAATTGCAATTGGAAAATATTGTCTAGGATAGAGTTGTATGGAGAATGCCGGTGGGCATCCTATACTCCTCCACGAGTGGCAACAGGCTTAAGTATGTAAGTGCAAGGTACACAGAAGAATTTTAACGGATCTTGAAAACAGAGAAATAAAGCTTTTTATAAAACAACCAACACTTTATGGAACGCTTTGGTTAGAATAAACCATAAGATCCTGTTTACATCTACACAAAATTGACTAGGTTATTTCAATTGTGATGCGTTCTACATTGAAGAGACTTCTGGTGACATCTTAACTCGTCCTAAAGAACATTTAAGTTACATAAAAACACTTAATAATCCTGTAGAATTGGAAAAGTTACAATTGAAACTAATAATATTAGTACATGTTATTTTCAATATTCATCAAATTGATATTAAAAATAACAAAATAATTTAGGAAGGCTTTTTCGACTATAAAGAGAGGCGAGTAGTCGGAAGGTTTCACAAAATGCTAAATTCCTCTGCACTCAATAAGAAATAAGGTCTGAATATTCATCCAAAAACCACATTGACACTTCATTTTCCACACAATCTACATACATACATAAATACACACACACACAAACATTCGATTTGAACACCACTACTTCGCGTTAATAATTATGAATTTTTCATACCAAGCTTCTGAGGCACAAATTATTACAGTGACATGTCATACAAATTCATCTTGACCAAAAATAATATGACATGTTCAGATCAATTATGATTTCGATTGTACTAAAAATATTCCATACTGTTTCCTTTGTACAATTTAAACTTGTAATAATTCTATTTCGGTTATTTGTCGGTTTACTTTAAAGAAGTGAGTTACAATTAGTCACGAAACATCAGGAATACAATTTTCTACGCATTGAGATATTACAAAAAATATATTTATTATTAACTATTCTGAAGTCTATGGCAAACAAACAGATTAAGAGAAGAGATAGTTTATTATGTATTATGTAAAGTATTGGTAAGATGTAAACAAGCTACAAACCAAATTTTATCTTAAACTCTGAAAGAATTTGAGTTTTTTGTAAAGAGATTTTCCAGAGTGAAAAATTTAATGAGAAACACTTTTGAGAGAGTATTTCCACAAATTAAAGTTCGCGTCCCTTCCAAAAAATAAACAGATACATTTCCACTTATAGTGTGTATTATGTAAGAAAAAATCACTCAAGACAGAATTACATACTGTGAGATATCAAACAGTTGAAATAATATTGTCACTTACATGATAAAGAACTATTCGATAAAGGTAAATTCCAAAGTCGAATATCACAGCCAATTGTTTTAGAATCACAATTTTGACCAGCTACACTGATAAGTAGTGTATTATCATTATTCGAATTTAGAGGTTTTGTGCAACTTAATCCACAAGGAATTAAGCCAGCATGACCACTTAGAGTAGCATGATATCCTGTAAGCGATGGTTCATATACTCGAAATTGAAACTCTTGAATATTACGTGAATCGGAAATTGTTTGACCAATCAAAAGTTTCACATTAGTCTTGTCAAGTAATTCTGACAAGGAGCCAGGACGATTAACAAATTTGTCAAAAATGTGAGATCCTGTTGATTCATCACCATTGAAAGCAACATTATTACACTTATTCACAATCACTAGATCTTTCTCTGAGCATTGACTTGATGTTTCATCAGAACCCTCATCCATGAATTCATCATTATTTAAACAGCACTGATCAGAAGTTCCTTTCACACTTTCTTCGTCGCTAACTAGACTTTCATCCGTAGTATCCTGATGCTGTAAACTGTCATCTTCATTGTTATTAATATCATTAGACGATAATGAACGTGGATTATTATTGGAATCCATAGTATCGACCACAGAATCTTTACTTTGATGAGGTTCTAGTTCATCGTAAGAATTGATAACATTTTTATTGTTCGCTAAAGTAAATGATATGAATGAAATTAATATGCGCAAACAACGATAATATAAAGTATTTCTAAACATACAGTGACTTCAGTGAAACAGTCACTGAGATCAAAGAAACACTGGATATTTGCTTCATTTTTGACTTGCATATTCACATTAAAACTATGTGTATATTCATGACTTTGTCATGAGTCCCGAAATTTTCTGACACCTTGACATGGTGGTCGAGCTTGCATATTGTGATGAACCAATAGAGCTGTACTAGCTGGAAAAACCGTTCCTCAAGCTCCTACCATGTCAGACCGGTCGGTCAAAGGGCGGTACGACTAAAATCATATATATTTAGTTCCCCCTTATACCAATACTTATGTGTTCAAATAAATAAATAAAAAAGCAGCAAACTTAAGGACTGGGGGCGAAGTTTTACTGCTGAGTTTACAGAGGTGTGACGGCAGTAAGGTGTTCCTTCAAACAACCAACATAACAGCGATGCTGCCTTCCCACAATGAAAAGGTAGAGAAGGTAGTCCGTAAAAATGCACACCTCGCCTTATCCCACGGATTTCCGTCTCCGGTGGTTAGTGCCCAACAAGTATGGAGCTAAAACAAAAATTGCTCACAAAAAGGTCATGTGTGACCGTACTCAAGTAGTTGTCCCTAGGGCACTGCGATCACGCTCTCAGGTCACTAAGACCACCCCTAACCCAATTTCCTTTTCAAATAACTCTAGGAAAACCCTTTTACGGTATGGAAACCGGAAAGTGATAACCGCCCTCATACCTCTAACAACACTCAAGATCACTGTATTCATAATCGATCTCCCTGTTCAATTCCTTTTATTCCTTCTACCTCGAGTTTTAAATCCAAACTCCCTCTTTTTACTTCCTCCTCAAGTGTCGCCATGGCCAACAATTCTAGTGCACGAAACATTGTCCCAGGTTTACTGAAACCTCGCTCCAAACTACACATTGGAGCAACTGTGTTCAGACAATTGTTTATTTTTAACAAGCACTTTTCAAACGGAAATATTTTCTTTCATAAAAATTAACATACATTAAGATTGAGATCATGAACCGGTATAAGCTAGATCACCATTGAGAACCTGGAAGCACTGGACGGCGGTTTCGTCATAGTATGAGACTCATCAACAGTGCGCACCCATGACCCCGCTCCATCTACTAGAAATCGTACTTATGTGCATAGTTTACACAAGTGTAAACGCTTAGTGCACTGGTAATTTCAAAGTACATCTTATTCAAATGTAAAATATAATCAGTTTTATAAAAAGGAATAAGAATGATTATCAACAGACGTGTCATTAAACAACAGAATCAATGATCAGTGAACTGAAAATGAAACATACCTACTGATGATATAGCCAAAAACGGAATAAGTAAAGAGAGTAGTTCAAACAGTTGACCAAGTGATTGAAAGTGAATTTAGTATTAAGGAAAGATAAATTTAAATCTACTAACCGTGTAAGAAGCACTACATCTCAGAAACTGAATGTCTCCTTCAATTACACACATTTAATCATAAGTTATCAATTAAATGTATATTAAATATATTACCAACTATATCAATGCAGTTATACAGCTATATTAGCAAGCCACGCTTTAAATTCGTAAATTATTCTCGACAAAAGTGAGATCCTTTTTCAATATTCAATAAAAGTCCAATATCTACTTTTTCTGACCATTTTTATTTTGTTCATTTAGTAAGTCAGTACTATATATGAGAACATGATTATCATTGATTGCTTCATTCTAATTATCTAGGGTAACCTAAATATGTATTGTGTGAACACGACACTGTAGTAAATCTTAACTTACAACATTAAGAAGGGAACAAATACAGTGGAAATTATGGCTTGAAATAGAATCCTCAGTTAAAATTATCCTCTTATATACAGTATTTAATCGATAACGAAATGAAAGGGGAAAAAAACAAGCTAAATATTGTAAAATAAATATATTAAACGTTGAAAAATTGATGTGTTACAAATTGACACAACAAAAGAAAAACCCATTCTAACTTACATGAATAATAACAAGGAGTATATTCAAATGATTGAATTTTAATAAGATTCACTACATTCTCATTGGTTGTATTCGAGTTCAAGGTGTCTAATGGTGATGATATTATCATTTCACTGATAAGTTCAAAATGTTCATTTCGACCACAACGCCATACACTTATATGACCATTAGATGTAGCAGAAAAAATATAAGGATACTACAATTTTGAAATTTAAAAGAAAGAAAGAAAAAAGAAACTAAAACATGGATCTTTATTTTGATATACTTTGAATTAAATACGTGTAGGGTCTGATGTATGAGATAAAAAGAGAAATGATTTGATGTGAATACTACAAACTAAATAATGATGACTTAAACTTAATATCCTTTATAATTACTGTTTAATTTTATGTGAAAAACACAGATTAAGCAATGAGCATAATAGAGATCGATAGTGACTAACAATGAAATCCAAGACGAGCATTTCATCCACTACTAGACACTATCCATCTCCGCTTATAATAATTAAGACTTAAAACAATATCGAAGCAATCCACACAGGATGCCAATAGGAGACTGATCAATTTTGAGTCCTAAACATAAATAGGAAGATTCAAATAACCAATACAAAAATGCAATGAATATACTAGTTTTCATTTAAGCTGTGATGAATATAGGGTTTGGACAAATTGATTACCCCACTACTTTTCTTTTGTTTTATATTCAATACGATTAATCTATGCGAATTTCCAACTTGCTCCTACGCAAGTTTACCACTAATAGCTATCAAAATGTGATTAGGATAAAGCTAATGAAGGTAAATGATTTGTTAATTTCAATTATCACTAGGTCTCATGGGAAAAAAGCACAACTCTATTTTAAACTCGAATATATAAATCGGTGTAGCTAATGAATGGTTGGCTACAGTTTTGCTTCTATAAAACAAGCACACAAACATACACATAAAAGAACAACAAACACAAACGATTAGCAATATAACCATCCATAAAACTTACATTGAAATCAAGTGATTTAATGCCAAGTTTATATGAAACAAGTGTTTGTTTCAATTTATATTTCTTTGATTTAATGCTATATAGATGAATTGACTGATCATTACTTCCAACAAGTAATGTTAGTTTTCTGTCGTGTATTTTATGCGGAATATATGACCATTTCAATGATATAATCCAATCTTTAGAAGCATTATAAATGATGTACTGAAGTGTTACTTTTGCAGTATTTGAATCATAACTGTAGATAGCTACATTCTATTACGTACAAAAAAGAATGGAGATCTAGTTACAACGAATTCAATCTAATATTTTAAACGATGAACAGACTAGTTCATCAATCACTGAACATTTGGATGAAACGGTTGCAAAACAAACTTATGGAGCATCGACTTAGTGAACAATGTATTTGATCGGCAACAGTTAAGCTTCTTATATTTGATCACTTTGATAACCATGCTAACTCCCTTTAACAAACAACTACCTGGATCAATGAACAATTATTTTATCCTTTGGATATGAATAAGTAAATGACACTACGTAGAATTCAAAATTAGACTTAAGAAATATAACAGTTTTCCACATTTGAAACAGAATTCCATAATCATCATTTCCAAGCTCAACCAATTTGTGCTATATTGCAGAGTCATTGATAATATATACGTATATAACTATTGCTCATCCGACTAAATTTTACTTTATTTATTTATTTACACAAATGCCCTGTTATGGCCGAGAGTGAGGAAAGTTCGCTCTCCCTCTCGAAATACTCTCACACGGCCAAGCGTATACAGCCTCTGCCAGGGAAGTTCTACAAATTGCCTTCTCGTGAAAGGGGTGTTGTTTACGAAAATGAGAGGACGAAAAGCGAATGTCCGGCGCTTTAACCGGATCCCAAACCAATGGTGCACATGGGCTCCAGTATCCTGCGGGAACAAATGGCGTATAAACCTAGTTTTGGTCACCGGCTACCGTGAGACTGCATCTCCTTACGATGCTCCACTGCTTTGTGGATCAGACCTTCAGGTCGAAGGCTCGAGGTGTGGCCCCCTAAGATAACCACCTGCTTCGGTCTGGGCAGCCGGGCAGTATCATAGCCCACACACAAATATGATGAAGTGCCTATAATTATGGAAACTACTTTACTTGCTTCAGCTAACAATCAAATTATTATTATTATTATTATTATTATTATCATTTACCACATTAATCACCCTTTTTTATACTTATACAGCGGCTCGTCTTTGGTGGAAATTCGACTGTATCTAAACGTTCTCGAGTCATTGTCCGGTTGAAAATTGTATGTTACCACCGATTACGAGAACTGAAGCAGTTTTTCTGAAATCACGTGCACCATTCAAACTGGCTACCTTCAACGTTCGCACACTTATGCAGGTTGGACAACAGATTGGGTTGGCTATGTCTTTGGAAAGTCTTAATATCGATGTCTGCTGTCTATCCGAGACCCGTATTCAAGACTCTGGTGAAGTACAACAAATTCGCTCTTCATCTGTCGCTTCGAAAAGCTTGATTCACGTGCGCTTATCCGGGGACCCTGTGACATCTTCGTCTGGTCTTGCTGGCGCTAGAGCTGAAGCAGCACTAATCGATTGGATCCCCATTAACAGTCGATTATGTGCTGTTAGATTAGAAAGTTCCATCAAAGTGAGAAGAAATCGGCGTGAGAAACGATGTCTTTTCGTCATCTCTGCCTGTACCCCGACAGATTGAAGCCCGGATGCAATCAAGGATGAATTCTACGACCAGTTAACTGTTCTTACCCAGAAAGTGAATTCGACAGATATTGTAGTACTAGCCGGAGACTTGAATGCTCAGGTCGGGCGTCTAGGCACAGAAGAGAGTCGTTTAGGTGGCCGATGGGACTCGTTGGTCGCAGGTCAGATAACGGTGACCGTCTACTGCAACTGTGTACAGACCACAACCTGTTTCTGGTTATCACTAACTTTCGGCACAGTTAGCGCCGATGTGCAACCTGGCGTCCTCCCTCTGCATCCCAAGCTTGGACTCAAATTGATCACATCGCCAATCTTACCTTACTTTTCAGTGGACAACGAAGTGACCGCCACCAACGGATTGATGTTAGCAAACTGGTTGCAACTTCTGTTGCTAGTAAGTATCGAACCGAGCTAGTTTCTAGGCTAGCTACCACTCCACAGAAAAGTAAAATGAGCATTGGTTGCAATTGCATGAAGCCATGAAAATGGCGGGAACAGTCAGTTGTGGGTTTGCGAAACGTCCCGCTTATAAGCAGTGGGTTTCTTCTAGTTCCTTACAACTTATTGAAGCCCGTCGATCTACTCCGGGTGACCGTGAGTTTGGCGACAAACGACGGTTGTTACGTAAGGAAATCGGGAAAAGCTTGCGTAAGGACCGAGATACCTGATGGTCGGAACGTGCTAATGAGCTGGAAGCAGCAGCTGCATCTGGTAATTACCGGAAGCTCTTCCAACACATCCGAGCCACTGGCAGCAAGAAGTCTGGTGTGAGCGAAACAATCTGCGAGGATGATGGGATGCCAATCACTAATATCCATCGACGTCTTGGACGATGGACAGAATTTTTCGTAGGGCAGTTCAACTGGCCTGCTGCTCCGGCAACATCGGTCAGACTGCCCTGCCCTCCATGGCCGTTGACGACTGATCCACAAATGAGACGGAAGTCCTCAAGAATCTCCAACTCTTGAAGCGCTACAAATCATCTGGCCCAGATGACTTACCTCCGGCTCTTTTCAAAGATAGTGGTGACTTTCTGACTACGGAACTGACGACGTTGTTTACAAAGGTCTGGGAGCTAGAGAGCGTACTAACGTCATGGAATCAGTCTATAGCTATCCCTATCTTTAAAAAGGGTTCACGTCGTTCCTGTAACAACTATCGGGGGATAAGTCTACTTCCGATTGCATCCAAGCTATTGGCTTCGGTCATGCTTCGTAGGTTGTTCAAAACCCGAGAAAGATCGACTCACGAGGAGCAGGCTGGGTTTCGTTCTGGTCGAGGATGTATTGATCATGTCTTCACCCTCCGCCAAATATTAGAACACCGCCATACTTATCAAAGGCCAACAATCGTAGTGTTTCTTGACATCAGGGCTGCCTTCGATTCGTTGGACAGGACTGTTCTCTGGGATTGTCTATTGAAGAAAAGTGTGTCTGAGAAGTTTATTAACATCCTAAAAACCCTATATACAAACACCTCAGGCATACAACTACCTTTTTCCATTGTTCCATTCAAGCAGTGGGGTTGGGCAGGGTTGCGCAATCTCATCATTCTTCTCCAACTTTGCCATCGATGACATTCTGGAAACAGCTCTGATGAATGTAAGTAATGGTGGTGTGGATCTGTTGCCTGGAGAAAGACTTCTCGAGCTCCGATATGAGGATGATATTGTCTTACTGGACGATAATGCTCTAGGCATGCAATCCACAATCAATGTCTGTAGGTACGGTATGTGCTTTGCACCTTTGAAGTGCAAAGTACTTCTACAAGACTGGCAGGATTATAATCCTGTACTCACCCTGGATGGTGAGCAGATAAAAGTAGTCGAGAAGTTCGTGTATCTAGGTAGCTACATAAGTGCTGGTGCGGGTGTGAGTGATGAGATCAATGCACGAATAGTGAAAGCCAGAGCGGCTTATGCCAATCTGAGCCATCTTTGGCGTCTTCGTGATGTTAGTCTGGCTGTAAAAGGTCGGATCTGCAACGCGTCGGTGAGAGCAGTTTTGCTCTATGCTTTTAAAACCTGGCCTCTCCGAGTTGAGGACGTTAGACGACTTTCTGTATTCGATCATCATTGTCTCCAAAGGATTGCTGACATCCAGTGGCAACACCAATTTAATAATACAGAGGTTCGCCATCGTGTCTTCGAGAACAGAGACGATAATCCAATTGGTGTCACCATCTTGAAACACCGACTTCAGTGGCTTGGACATGTTCTACGAATGTCGTCCCAGAGAATTCCACGTCGTGCATTATTTGCCGACTCTGGGACTGGTTGGAAAAAGCGGAGAGGTGGTCAGTGCATGACATGGTGTCGTGGCATGAAAGAAAGTTGCAAAGAGCTGGCTTCTGTCGGTCCTTCACGACTCCATGGTTGGGGTTCGAGAGATGGTGCTACACAGTGGCTACAGACGTTATCAGGTATGGCTCAGAATGGAAGCCAGTGGCTATCCTGCTGTAACCTTCTTTTGCTGTCTACCTTAGTGAGAAGATAGTGAAGAATGAGATAATAATTGACACTTAGTATTTATAGGATTAGAAGTTGTACTAAAACCATGGAGAAATAATGAATTGGACTTGACTCTTTTGTAAGCAGTGGATTTGTTTTGAACGGTGAATAGCTCTAGTTTCTTTATCTAAAAGCTTTTTCGAGCCACTTTTAATTTTAAAGATGATTTTCAGCGACGATTGGCATGTGATGACTAGAGTTGACCCCGTGTTCAGAGATTGTGTTGTTGATCGATTTTATATTCCTGTTTAGACAGCTATGCAGGGTAGTCTCCGAAACTTCGTTCATCATGCGCACGACTTGTACGGCAAATATCAGCTGATCAACAAAAGCAAGTAAACTGATAAATGTACATTAAGGTAGACTGAGGAGGAAGTTGTTTATCGTTGACATTTCCCCAAAAGTGTTTCTTCCTGGAGAAAACAATTCAAAATATCACACTGAATAAAAAAACTTTCTCGGAGAAAGGGTTGTACTTCAGTATCTTCACGGTCGTATCTCCCTTGAATTCGATGTTCATGAATAAAACTTCGAAATTGAGGACTACATTCAACTTGACATTTTGATTTCAAATGACTATTAATGTACCTGGATGAAAAACTGTTGTCCGAAACTGTTTGTCGGATTTTATTCAACTCAAAATCAAGAATTATCACAAATAGAAAAAACTTTCAACATTTATAGATATGTAGGAAATACATGTAAATATATAAATAAATACCTACTATTACGCACACACTCCCAAAGGTCCCGTATAAAATGAAAGATGATTGGAAAGATTAAAATAATTTATCTGCCCAAAAGTTGAGGAAAATAGTGAAGGAGTGTAATAAAATAGAAGCTGCTATACATTCAAAATGAGGACAACCATCTTTTTTCAGTGTTCAATAAAAAACAATGTCTACTTTCTTCGAATATTTTTTCCTGTTAGTTTAGTGGATCACGGAGCATTTTATTTCAATTATTTGAAACTATCTACATCTGTCATCTATGAACACGATGCTGTGGTACATCTTATCTTACATGACATTAAAAAAGAGACAAATACAGTGAAGATTACATTTCCAAATAAAATCCACGGTCAAAATTATATTTTATATGCAGTATTCACTGGCTAATTAAACGAAAGGAAAAAAAAGCTAGATATCGTGCAAATATATTAAACATTGAAAAATCTATGCGCTACACATTAACAAATTTATATCCTGTTCTCATAATTAACAACAAGATTAAAACACTAACTTTATCTTTCGAGCCAGTAGCTATAAAATTCATTTGTACTGCGACAGCAGTTATTTGACCATAATGTTGTCGAAGACAAATTGATCTTACTAAAGGATTTTCTAACTTGGAACCAACAAAATACGCCCATACTTCACAATTCCCACCTCCACTAACTGCGATAGAATTAGAAGCAGATGCGCATAGAGTACCACCAGCTTCACCTGTCCCATTCTCTGCATGTTCAATAGAATGTGACCAAGAAGTATACAAAGGTACAATGGATAAATTGCAAATAGAATGTATATCAGGCTGAACAGTAGAGTTATCATCTCGTTTTGATTTAATTTCAGGCTTAAAGCTAAAGTGATATAACTAGAAAAGAGAAAATAAATTACAGTAATAAATTGAATGGACAGACAAAATAAGAAAGTATGATGACATATTTACATTTAGATATAGATAGGACAAAATCCACTTACAAAAGTGGAAATTCAATGACCAGACATATTATATGATGTACACAATAAATCTGTTATTCATTGAATGTTATGTCCATAAATATATGAATGGAATTTCACAGCAAGCTACATCGACAGAGATTGTTAGGGAAAGTAATAATTACGTCTGACCAACGCCTAGGTAGATGGACGATAACTAGCTGGTTTAAGAGTAAGTTGGAAGGAAGGTAGAAGAAGGAGGGGTGTGTATCATTCTAACTTCATCTCGGCGTGCTAATACGGTCGGGACGTTGGGCCTGCACATATCTATTTCAGATCATATGTTGATTATAACTGACTGATTGACTATAATTCAAACACTTATGATTAGGTAAGTCCAATATTATAACGATTCACTGAAACTTATACAAGACGGTGTGTTGACTACAATAAAGTATTTCAGGAATAAATATTAGTTAAAATCTAAAATTCAAATCAACTGTAATTTTCAGAAGAGGTTTTGCGGAGATTTTTGTAATTTCAATAGTTGAAATCATGAGCTAAATGAAGCTAGACAACCATGAAAAGCCTGGAAGCACTTGACAGCCGTTTCGTCCTAGTATGGGACTCCTCAGCAGTGCGAATCCATGACCTCATCATAGGCGATCGAACCCAGGACGTTCAGTCTTGCGTGCGAACAATTAACCTCTAGATGACTGAGTCGACATTCAATGGTATGACTAGTTTTGAGAAGAAATTATTTGAGTCCTAGTGAAAAGTCGTGATCCGTGGAGCCAATCCATGTCGGGTGAGAGACAGTCACCAACTAAAGACAATGGGAGATGATTACTTAATGTCATGGATTGATTAAGGTTAGGCATTAACGTCGGATGCAGGCTCAGTGTCCCAGAGGTTAGGCGAGACCGAAGGTCCTGATCCAAGTCCTGCGGGAGTGTTCGCATATGTATATAGTATTCGGTGGTGAAATCAATATATTCATAGTACTCAAGGGACTTTATTAACCTCACCAAAAGTTGTTTAGTATGGCATACTCCATGTTTAATCTTTGTTAATTGAGTTGTGTTAAAGTGAACGAGGGAAATTTGACAATTAACTATTTTTATAATGAGTATCGATCAACCATGTAAAAGAATTAATTGATCTTCGATGTTTCTGGAGCGTGAATTAAAATGTACTTCGATCTCTAAAACTAGTATCTCACCTAGTCAGAGTATTAGACAACGTGCAACTCAACCGCTTGAGACACCATTATCATGTACAACTTGGAATAAAAGACAGTGGGGTTTCCTTTGTAGCATCTTATTGCATTCTGCATAGAAGTGCGATGATCTATATTCTTGGGTGTATTTTCAAGCAAACCACCACGGAAAACCTGGTGGTCTAGCTTCAATTGACTCATGATCTCAACTATTGAAATATGCAATTATATAATAAAGAATAGATACTTTCATGAGTATCTGAAAAAATCTCATAAACACAAGCACTAGGTAGGGAAGTTGTTTTCAAATGAAAATTTTGTGATAACTTCATAATAAAAAAACCAGCTCAACGAAAACTATGCAAGCATCAGGTTATACACACTTCAAGTTAGACCATAGAACAAATATCGTCATTATGCCAAAGAACATTCAAATAATACGATTATTGGAAACATAACAATCAAAGATCAATCGACACCTAATTCTGAACATTAAGTGATCATTTTTAGACCAGAAAATTATCCCTTTTTAGATAAAGGTCTGCTACAAGAACGTTCAGGACTGGCTTCCTAGCTCACCTTCATAAACCTGGACTACTTCCACACGTAAAATTAAACAGTACAAAAACGGTGGGGAAATGTTGGTAAAAGCTTTACGTTATTGCTAGTTTATATACAGAAAATTTATAGAGTTGTACAAGACCATGCATTTCTATAACTCTACAGAAACATACCGAACATAGCAATGGTTTAAATAATTATCCAATCAAAACGTGACACGTGCTTATACACTTTATAGATGTTCTTGAAAAGCCTTTTAGTGCTGATTATATACGAACCATTTCCTAGTGTTTTCTGGGCTTCTAGATACTTCAACGGAGGATATATCTTTGGACTACTGAACAATATGCACATATGACATAATAGTCAAAACTGAATTTTGAAACAAATTAAATAGGGTTAAATCCATCATCGAAACAAAAAAACTAACCCTAACTGCACCAGATGACCAACCAACAACGACAAGATTAGTATCATCGCAATAAGGTGAAATACCACAAGCGATAGCTTCAACAGATGAATTATCGTTTATCAAAGGAATTAATTTATCCGAACTGAATACAGTATCACCATTGGTCATTAGAACAATAGTGAAGAGACCATCATTCCATCCAATTATGATATACTTTCCACTTATGTCAATAGTATAGGTTGTGACAAATATAGTTCGTTTCATTTTTTTCTTATTGCGACTAACGTTAATCCATGGACCTACAAAGAGAGAGAATAAACGCCCTGGTTAATAATAAATGAAAAATGCAGTTTAATGATTAAAAGAATCAGTTTTTCACCGTTCGTTCACCAGTTCCAACTATGCACCAGGAACTTCCGTTTAAGTTAACTGGTAGTATCAATACCAAATACATAAGCGGTATAAGTCAAAGCGGCGAACGAAAATCTAAACAAGGTTATTTTCATTTAATTACATAATAATTAGTTAGTTAGTCAATGATCAATAAACTCGACAAGATACAATCCAGCAGAGCAGATTCTTTCTTGAGTATTCTTATAAATCAGAGGTGCAAATATTCTGCAGCTAACACACAAAAAAAGACTACAAATAACAAGTGCTGAAGAGAAAATGAATCCAAAAGGTACAAAGAAATCTAAAGCAAATAGTCATATATATGAATCTTTAACGTTTATATACAATTTGTTATACATAATACACAGTTGTTGAAGTTTGACTTATTAATGAGTATATTTTTCATTAAAAACAAGATAACAATAAACACTACTATTCATTATGTTACCTAATGATAAAGATACTCCAATTATGCCTCAAATAAATAATTATAGGGACAAAATGAGAATGACAGAGAATCCTAATGAATACGATAATAATACGATGAAGGAATGGCTTAATGAATTAACGACTTTTCAAAATCACTTTCAAACGTATTTACGGAAGCAAATAATTAGGAAGCATTGAAAGGAGAATTCACTGTATACATTACTCGAAAGTCTTGTTTGAAAGGAAGTGAAGTATTTATAAATGAAATCACTAGACGTTTAATGGGTAACGGATACAACGTGAACACCATAAATCAATGTAAAATAATTAATAAACAGCGATCACTTTTACTATGTGTTACTACAGAGGTCATTATTATCAAGCTCTTTCGATCTCACTTTTGTGTTTAAACTCTCACTGCCAATTGGCTAGACAATTTTATACTATTTGAGAAGAAAACACTTTTATAAAAGACATTTGAAAAACTAATTGATAAATACTTTTGAGCAAAGAAAGCAAATTATCACAGGCCATTTTTAATGAAACAATTTACCTACCTTCAGGTGCACCGAGATGAGCATTCCAAACATTGATTCGACCAACTGATGACCCACCGCCAGTTTGAATGAGATAACGTCCAGTTGGTTCAGAGAAACATAATACTCCCTTTTGATTCGGTAATAAATGATGCAGTTCATCAAGACAAGTGAATTCATCAATTGATGAAAAAGTAACATTTTCAGTTAACCGGCCTAGATATGCAAATGTATTCGCATTTAAAATGAAACTTTGACCTTTTCTGTCAAGAATAGCTAACAGTCTGCCACCATTCGGCGAGTAAGCCAGTGAACAAATAGCAGATGTTGAAATCGCAAGAGACTAGAAAATAAAATGTCAAAAGAAAAAGAGAGAAAAGTAAAGAAAATCAAACAAAAGTAATTGAAAACCATTAAATATAGTAGCACAACATAATAAAATAAACGTTAATTCTCACCTTTATCCAATTCATAGATATGAGACTGTAGAAATGGACAAAACCATCCCAACATCCCACTGCCATAACATCACGTAAATATTCAGAAGGAATAGATTCTTCACTATCCGATGCATAATTCGGTAAACGAAAAGCAATTGAATTAATCGATGATTTAATATTCAGATTTTTACTAGGTTTAATTTTTTTACAACCAGATGATTTCGACGTAAAATATGACCCAAATCCCAATTCACCAACTTCCCATAAACAAATTAAACAATCTAAACCACCAGTAGCCAAAATACGACGTTTCGGATGCCAAGCAGATACAGTCACAGGTTTGTGATGATATCCACTTAAAGAAGACACTTGGGAACTGATACTAGTTGCTATTCCACATGTAACATTGTTTATCACATTTGATAAATCCCAAATAAGTATACTAGCATCCTGACTAGTACTAACTAGCCATAATTGTGAACTCGACATACCATATGGTCTGATCGTAGAACCGTCAGAGGCAAAATCATCAATAAAACATAAACTGAGTATTGGCATATTATGTCCAAGAAATGAACATAATATCTAAAAGAAGAAAACAGAGAGTCAATGATGAAGTAAATAAATTCAATAGAATAGGACTTTCAAAAAATTAAATTTATATAAGTTTATACCAATGATAACCATTTCGTTATATTGTTAAAAAAACATATGAAAAGCGCGAAAAACTAACCTTAAATGATTGAACCTCGACAACCGTAACTGTGCCAGACTCAGTTCCATAAGCTAATAAATTACCTGTTCGATCAAGTTCAATTGAGATTGGGATATCTTGGGAACCAGTTAGTGGTGTGACTGGTTTATGAATTGCAATTGGTTGAATAATTTTCGGTAGGATAGATTGAATGTCATTAGTATTTAATTTAATACGGAAAAATTTTTTACATGAGTCACCATTGATTTTCTCTTGATAATTTGAACTAAGTAAACATGCATATCCAATTGTATGAATCCATTCGTCAACATCTTGATTGATAGCCAATTCAGCGAATGAATACGGATGTCTAATAAAAAGAAAATTAAACTAAACAATGTTACGTTGTTAAAAATAAACAGACTGATTATTTGGGTTGCATTGGGTCTCGTGTGTTCAAGTCGTAGTATGAAATGAGAGGAGAGCAGTTGCACGATCTCGCACACACACTCTCTCTAGGTCGATTATCGATTAGTTAACCTACATTGCCAGTGGGATTAGTGACTTTACACTTACTAATTGACACAAAGACCAATGAACAACAACTAATACCTTGACAGTTATCAGTTCACAAGTTACTAGTTCTAACCGAGTGGACAACCAGAAAACGAAAACAGAGAACAGATTTGTTCTGTACTATACTCAGTTCAATTATTACTCCAAATTTATACGATAATATACCTGAAAAGTTTGACCACAGAGCAACACAAATACAAAATTACATAACACATACATAAGTGATACTATACCAGAACGATAGGGGAACAATCAATTTGGGGGTTGTGGAGATTGTTAAGTTTTTGATTGAAATCATGAGACAATTGAAGCTAGACAAGCATGGAAAACCTGGAAACATTAGACGGCGGTTTCGTCCTAGTATAGGACTCCTCAGCAGTACGCATCCACGATCCCGCACCCCGCGAGACTCGAAATCAGGACCTATCAGTCTCGCGGCAGGCGCTTAACCAACAAGACCACTGAGTTGGCATCCAATGGTGTTAATGTCTAACTTCAACCAATCCACGAAGTTTCGTGACCATCTTCCATTGTACTGAGGTAGACACTTGTTTCTACCCGATAGGGATTAGCTCCACTGGTCAAGGCTTCTCACTGCTAGTCTAGCTTCAAATGGCTCATGATTTCAATCGATAGGGGAATAATTAATTAATGATAAATTATAAGACGAATCAAACGAAAGCTTAAAAATAGGAGAGTATAAAAATACAATATTCAAAGCGTCTGCTAAACATACAACAAAAATATAAATAATAAACCTTAGTCTCAAAAGTCATACTTCCTCCTTTATTATATCAAACAAGAATGAAATAAAAAACCATCTAGACCAAATGTATAGTGGCCCATAATTTACAAGAGGAAAAAACAGCTATTTAATCAATTAAAAGAGAATACATAGAATATGTGATCCATCCAAGTAATGCACAATCTAAGCTTTAAAGATTATTAATTTTGGATACAACTAAATAAATGAAAAGTATTTTGTAAAAGGGTTATAACACTAACCTACCCTAACTTTGTATCACGAGAAAAAATGTTAATAATTTCGCTTTCAATGTTTATTAAACAAATTAAGATGATATCAGCTGTGAAAGCTATTGTTATATTGTCAGCAGTAATCGAAATTTACCAACTATCAGATGAGGAAAGATCTAGAAAGTACTCAATCGTTCACTAAATATTATTGATTATCAGGACATTAGTTTACTTTAACATTTTAATTTATTGTTTTATTATTCAACCATATAATAATACTGATTGATAATTACTAAGTACAACATAGAAAACAATCATTTTACAATAATGTACAACTTTAAAATGACCAAAATTACATCACATGAAGAATAAAGTCGTCACCAGTTGCCGATTAACACTACTCTTCATAAACTAATCCTCATATAATAATAATCGTAATAATAACAAAAATAATAATAATATAAGCCCTGTTAATGGTGTAGTGGCTGGTACTATATTAATCCAATATAGGTTACTCTAGCCTGGACAGACCAATCTATTCATTCTTCTCGAATCCCATTCTTACATGATCACTTATTCGTTTATTAACCTTGACTGTTTTCATGTGAGTGTATGTGTGTACATTGCTTATCCTACTCATCACATTTTTGTAGCTTATTTTCGTTTGATTATAAATATCGATTCACGCTTGGTTAACGGGAGTTGGCTCACACGCCTTTCCTACAACACGTCGTTTCGTTTCGTTTCGCTCTCCCCACTTCGCTTCATTCGGTTCGCTCCCTTGATTATCTGTTCAGATCGACGGTTGTGTGGACCATAAGTATTCGAAATTGATTCTCGTATTTGACTTACTTTCGGCCCGTTATTCACTAACGCGGTTTCAGCCGATGATTATATACGAGGATTGGCTGTATGAATATTTCAATAACAATTATAATGCGATCCAAATGGAATCAGATATCGGGCCACAAGAACGGTATTCTCTTACAATGATCAATAGAACCATTTTCAGAGTTGTTATCATTCAGTAAAACAAAATAATTGTTTTAAATAAATGAATGAATCAACAACTTACTTAATTAACAATTCATAATTCGATGCAAGAAACCTTTGCATAGTTATAATTTTATCCTTCATAAGATCTAATGAAGTAGGAATATTGTTCGTTCCAGATTGATGATGTGCAGTAGTTGTAACTAATCGAGAAAATTTTTATCATAATGATAAGAAAAAGGGTGGTTAATCTCAAAGATAATGATTATTTATTTTGTTTCATACATAATGATAGTACTAATGATAAGACACTAATCTATCAATATTTAAAATGAACATAATTCGGGCTTATACACGTCGATAAACAGCATACAAACATTGAATAAAGTTCTTTTCATCTGTCCCTTTAGCTAACTCATTCACTTCATTTCATGTCACTCAAGAAGCGGGAATATATAACCTTTAATCAGTTATTTACATCTTCTTAGCACATATAACTATTAATTCATTTTTGTATTGCTTATTTGAAACTTCCCATTTATGTTTAGGACTGCAATTGATCACTCTCTTATTGACATATGTGAATCCTGTGCGGATTGTCTCGATATTTCCTTGAGTCACAAGCATTACAAGGAAAGATGGATAGTGGAATCCGGTTTGACGAGCGTTTCGTCCTATTTAAGACTTGTCAGCTTCGCATATAACGATTAAGCAAATTTAAGCTACACACCTATAAATTTGTTTTTTTTTCTTCTAGTTGGAAATGACTACAATTATTCTGTAATGACACTAGAGATGACCTTGAGTGCAATATTACTACATTAATACGATGTCACAGTTTCCTTACGAAGAATTAACCATTCCCAACTCATTTCGCAGTGTTGTAACCCATATATTCCAAAAACAACTTTTTAAATAACACGAATTTGAAAAATTTAAAACCCTACATCTGTCATTTACATATAACATTGTTATCTGTATCAACATGATTATGCCTATGATTATTTTCAGAATACATTATTTATTTATTTATTTGTCTTTTAAAATGTTAGATGTTTCATTGTATTTTAACAATAGAGGGCACATTAAACACGTATTCATCAGAGTTCAGCCTGATACCACACTTCACTCTACAACTGCTTTAGAATATCTGCAAACGAATAAACCATATGAGAAAAATGATACTGTATTACTTAGAAATAGATATAATTGCATACTATTCATGGAAAATACGTGGTTAATCCTAAATGGTCGATGAATAAAAACTAAAAAACAATATCATTTTCATCACGAAATTATAAGAGGAAAACCAATCAAAATTAAAAACTGATTGATGTACTTTGAAGCAGAGATAGACGGTGATTAGTAGTGGAAACCACGACTCGTATTTCTTCTTATTTTGAACTCGACAACTATATTCGAAAGTTGACGTTTGCTCCAGGACTCGAATCAAATGTCTTTCGCTTCAAACGCCATAGCGTTATCTACTTAGCTACTGACTACAAATGGCCACTTAATCAATTATTTCAATTTAGTTTGAAAGTGTGCAGTAACTATAACCAGCAGCGAGCAACGAATAAGATGTCTTTAAACAGCTAGGCTAAGATTGACAATGTACGATTACTCCAATGACTTCAGAATAACTAAATCACCTAACATGTGATCAATTTGATAGATAACTGCTCATACTTATAACACTTTATAGGTAGTTATCAAATGAAATAAAACATTGACAAAATTGATCTTAAATTAATATTTCCTTTGGTGATAAACAATGGAATACAAAATCTACTGAAGGTAATGTTTAGAACATGCTATCTTGATTTAACGGAATCTAAATTTTGATAACTTAACTGGAATTTGAATCCACCACCATTGTTTCTTCAAACGTCAAAACGTTTATCAAATAAGCAATCAATTCAACACACCTAAGACCGAAGAAACCTCCATTAGGACTCAAACAATATTAAAGATACATTTAAATTCAGTTTCACCCAGTTAGCAGTAATGACCAAATGGAAAATAGAGCACTTACTGTATCTATTCAGATCGTCTAGCAATGTCAAACCATATCCAGATTCAATCTGATGAATAAGAAACGCTGGACTACTGAGTAAACAAACAACTTCATTTAATCGACCGGCAAGATGCTAAAATTAATTTTTACGGAAAAGCATACATCTCGGTCATCAATCAATTAGACAGGGTATTTGATATAACTAGTCAAAATGTTAATGCATCCAAAAAACTGAATTGATAGCGACGAAGTTAAATTAAGTATACAATGAAGCGGCTATTCTTCATCAATGGAGACTGAACGATAGCTACATTATGTGAAAAATCAACTGAAGTTAGAAACGTGAATCTCTGGTTGAGAAGGGTATCTTACTCGGCATGAGACCTGATTCTTCACTTCGATCTCGTTTCTGGAGGACTAAGTTCACAATGTTTGTAATTATTCACAAAGGACTAAAGAGTTGTTGAATAATCCCATAGAGAAAATTTATACTCAAATTAAAACAGATAAGTAAGAAGTACAGCTCAAATATAATTCTAAAACACACCATCGATCGATTTACAGCAAACTCTATTAAAGTATCAAAAAAGATTCAATTTATTTTAAATATAAAAGGAGGGATGATAATAAAACATTCTCAGTATAAGACTGTGGAGATTGTTGAGTTTTTGAATTGAGATCATGAACCGATCAATGTTAAACCACTATTGAAAACCTGGAAGCATTGGATGGCCGTTTCGTTCTAGTATCGAAGTCCGCAGAAGTGGGCATCCGCGGTCCCGCACGCATAATTGAAACCCAGGACTTTCGGTCTCGCGACCGAACGCTCACTGCTGAGGAGTTCTATACTAGGACGGAACGGTCGTCCAGTGCTTCCGGGTTTTCAATGGTGGTCTAATATTGATCAATTCATGATCTCAAATAAAATATTCATTTATCCAATAATAAATATGCTAATAATGAACTTACTAAATGATAAATTAAATCTTTCATGTTTCGTAATTTTGAAGCTAAAATATTATGTATAGTTTGAAGAGTCACTGTCTTCAAATGAATTTTATCACCGGGCATACTTTCATCATGTTTTGAACGTTTGTTAAAATTCCTCATTTGATTATTTTTGAAAGTATATTCATATTTTCCATGACCTATAGTGTTTTTTGATTGATTAAAACATATATCATAGACTAGATTGTGTATTTCACGACTGCAAAATGATAATGCTCTTGATCCAAGATTCCATATAGCAAGCTTTTGTTGTTTTATTGTTTGCATAGAACCATCAGGCGGTAATTCATTGTCAATTTCATCAATATCAGCTTTTTCATCAATGAAACCAGAGAGTAAAGGATGAAGACCAGTTAATAGGATATACAATAAAAGCGACGGCAAATGTGGTTGTCCTTTAGATAATGTAGGCTTATTTTTATTATGGAATTGATCATTGATTATTCGATAAATAATCTTCTCATTTGATATTATACTATCAAGATTGTCCAATGGTACTTTTAATTCTTGCCAACAGTCTGTATAACCATTTTTGAACTGTTGTTCCATCCATGATTCAATTAACCATTCATCAATTAAATTATGTAGTTCTTCTGTTGACAATGGTTGACGACAGCAAGTAAGTAGACCAAGTGTAATGCGAGTTAAATCTGATCCACAACTACATTCAACTCGTTTGACAACATCTATCACTAAACTGGATATTGTATCAGGCAGTTGTTTTAATTTTGCATCCAACTATTTAAAAATGGAAATCAAACAATTTAAATTGATAACCATACTTAAAACTATGAATAACAAACGTACGAATACATATAAATCAGGTCGATGAGAGCCACTTTGTTGATATGTGCTAAAATAAAGTTTTAGTCAATCAATCAATCACCACATAAAACCTGGTACGTATGTACACCGGTTTCAGTTGCCATACCCAGTTAGCACAGAGATAAAACTGCCAGGCCAAATCTCAGAGTATGAGTTAGTAACAGAATAAATGAGAATAAAAAAGACTGGGTGTCGAAGATACGATTCAAGCAAAATATAAATGGGTGGAACCAAACACCAAAAAATTATGAATTCAGAAGCTCAGAATTTGAGTGAAGAAAAAGAATGGATGTGCCTAGACCATTTCAAATGATGTTGAGCAATATCGTTCAGGGTCTCTAACCACCGGTTATGATAATTACGCGGTAGTCTACACCTATAGACATGGCTCAGTTCCACGCTCAAAAACTAGTAGCTCATTTTTATGTGGCCGTCCCTAGCTTTCTCCCAACTTACTCCTACACCAGACAAGATTGTCTGTAGAGGTAAGCGGTTGTTATGTACACGTAACACATATCCTAAACACTTCAGTTAATGAAGATTCACTACATTATCAATTGATTTGTAATCTTTGCCCAGTTCCCTATTCTTAACCCAGGCACTGCTTACTCTGTGTTTCCAGCACAAGAAATACTTCGAAGACACCTATGATCGAATAAGATGTTGCAATTAGCAATATTTATTGGGGAAATCTCCATGAATAACTATCCATCAATGCTATAGTTAGCTGTAATATTAAACTAAAGATATCATATAAAAAAGTCAAGTTAAAAGTTTAATGTACAAGATAGGACACTAACCTGTTCATATTTACTGTACAAACGTAATTCATCACAAGCCAATTTCAAATAAAGTGGAATACTTGCTTCTCGTTTTTGAATTAAAACAGATAACTGTGAAGTAGAGAAAACGAACAACAATCAGATTAATAAAACAAATATGTAAACCTTATTTTATTCAAACACTATAATCTACAGTGAAACCAATGAAAACACAATGATTAAACCATCTAGCTCAGATAAAATTACTACACTGAAATGATCCACCTCAGGTACATATATTCACTGCAATTTATAGAAGAAAGCATAAATTCTTCATGTTCAATTGCATATACGTAATGTAATTCAATTAGCTTTTCATCAAATATACATACTCGCGTATTTGATTTTTTTAGACGAACTTTAGTCGCTTTAAACCTTGTAACACTACCTAACTGATTAGGACTTCTTTAGATAGATAGAATGAGATTCTGACTTGAAAGCTAGTGATTGAAAGTTGAGCTCGTTAATTATTAGGTTACCTGAAATATACATTTCATCATATGACAATTTCTGTCCATTAGAAATAATAAAATGATGTTGGATACATTTGAGATATGTGAATAGTATGAAAGTTGATCAAGGTTATTATTTCACCAATTAGTTTGAGCATTTTAAATTAAGTATTCAGTTAAGTGATACATCGATGTAGTTGTCGCTAAAATTTCTTATGTTTTAATTATTTTTTATTATTTATTAACTACAAATATGTCATAGAGCTTCTTGTAATCGGAAAGCCATATTTATGGAGAAACTGTAAGCCATGAACGACCTCCGAGAATAACACCGAAATGATTTTGAGAATATTCATCTCCTTACACTAGTGTCAAAAAAGGGTTATTAATAAATGTGAGGAAGTAAGATTAGTATTTAGAGTTAGAAGTCAATGTTAGGATTTGGAATTATGGTTTTCATCCCAAACTGACATCAATTTTAATGTCAAACTGCTATTTAACCAATTGGATTAATGAATTTTGCGTCCAAGCCCATAACGTGCTATCTTTAAATACATTAGTTAATCCATTGACTATAGTCTCATCATGTATCGACCAAATGAAATTATATCCACGAAAATATAAAAGATTTAACGTTGAATATGCTGAACATATGAGTAAATCAGTTATTGTTTTGAAACAAAATTGACTTCAGACAAAATAAATCATTGAAACATACCTGATTTGGAAAACCGGATTCACTTAAAACTTTTCCATATTTTCCAAGTAAACTACGAACAGCTGCACCACGTTCGTGTGTAGTTAATCCAGATACAGTTAATAGTTGGCAATCAATTCGATTGCACAAATCACGAGCAACTGATGATTTGGAATCACATGTTAAAACGAATCGAACATTCTGTGAAATAGAATTTTCAAAATTAATCAGAATCATATGGTAACAGGCAGTTTTAAAAATATAACCTTTACGTATTTATTGACAAATTCGATACATGTCAAATATCCGACACGAAACAAATTCAAAGTTTTAATAAATCCGTCCCTATGGATACTGGTAAACGAGGCTAATCCAAACCACAATTATTTGATAAGTATTACTGTTACCTCCAACACAACAGAAGTACACATGAACGACAACATCGAGGATCAAACCCAGAACTTTTAGAACTTGTGGTGACAACATTGTTTTAAGACCAGTGAGTTAGCGAAACAAATAACATAGAACAAGGAAAAAATACATATATACGTACGCGTACGCGCGTACACGTACGCGAATAAAGACATAGAGGAAATACTAGAAAGACTTGTTATTAGTGTTTATAACCAAGTCGTTTTTTTTCTGAAAACTGTCATTCAACATGTCATGTATCAGATGTTAGAGTAGAAAATAAATACATATGTCAACCTATTATATAAGTATCCTTTATGTCTATTGTTTCATAATGATAAAACATCTCCCACTCAATGCAGTTTGAACACAAAAAATGAATTGAAAAAAGACCGTTTCCAGCAAATTCAATTAAATGTAATATTTCCAGTCTGATAGAGATCGTGGGATGGATATTAATTGGAATTTCGGAGGATAATTGACTTAATCCCTTTAATGCTATTCTTGAATTAATACTTCAATCATTTAATTTTTTTTGAGACTATCAGTAAAAAGTTTCGTTCGAGACCAGTTTAATCAAGAATAAAGATAATGACTATTATGATGGCGCTGTGTCCGAGACTAATACCGATACACAAAATTCCAATTTCCAAACCCCAAACGGTTACTGAGTAAGAAGACTAAGAATGAAGAAGGAAATTTATTGGGCTAGATAAAATCATATACATATATGTCTACCACTTAAAAAAATGAAACCATTTCTTGGTCAATAACATCCACTTGTTATTTAGACGATCTTTGATTGATAAAATGTGGACTTAGCAATTGGTGACTTTTGTCTGACCCACAACTAATCTCTGACAATGATTATTTGATATGATATCGCAAATTAGTAAAGTATGCTACTGAAAGTCATATCCACCATAAAAGGCTGTTTGCACAAATTATCAGGAAGACTTAGATAAGCTGATAAGAGACTACCGAGATTCCTTAGCCATGAAAAATATAACTACATAATACATGGACGATACATTTTCTCATCAATCTAGATATTCTACACAATTAAATTTTATTAAAATTTTGAAATGTTAAATACTGTAGCTTGAGAACGATCGGCAGAGGCATGCACTTTGAAAAAGTGTGACAAAATTCTAGTTAACTCTCATTGAACAAGACTTAATTTCAAGTTCATTGTGGATAGTGTTTAGAAAAACAAAACTGATCAATCTATTTATTTGTCTTCTGAAGATGAAACAGAAAAAATAAATAATCTTCGGTTACAATCATTGCAATAACGATGGTTAAAACACGTTTATGATTAGACAGGAAAAGAAATCACTTAGCAAACAGTACCCGTTAGGTCCTGTGACTCTGTCAATTATCACGTGAAAAAATCGCTAATCAGAAATATCAACCTTTGTGACCTTGCTCCTGTGATAAACCAATGATGCTTAAACCAGCACTAACAGCCTTGAGTCAGCCCTGAGTGCTTACCGGTCCACTGTAGGTAACCTATCATCTAGCCCAGCCCGTTCTGTCCAGAACACAAATATCGGCTTCCGCTGATATAATAGTAAATTATTAAGGAAATATTTACAATAAAACACATGAAACCTAACACTTACAAAATTAGGATAAATTTTAAGTCATGATCAACATGAAAACAATTACCTTCGGTAAAATTTGTGGTAACCATTCTAAGGTCATTGGTTCCAACTGATCGGAGTCATCAATTAAAAAGGCAAACTGTATATCATTTAAGTAACCAATAAATTGAATGAAACGTGCAAAGCACTGAATATTAAATCTATAGTAGAAATATAATAATAATAATAATAATAATAATAATAATAATAATATGCTTAACAAGTAAGTTAATTAATAAACCACCAAATAATAATTTGGACAGACGGAATTTGTTTAAATTCGTTCAATCTCAGGAGTATTTACATTTCAGGATAAACAACAGGTGAGAAATCATGAAACCATAGATACTTCTATATTGTATTCTCGGTTTAAACTCCCTACCAATTCACATTGTATTGAATAGAATCCATATACATTAATAATATTCATATATTCGTGCTAGTTTTAACATGAATTTCCCGAATCTCAAATGAGAAACTATAACATGCCATTATAAACGTTATTGTTTTAATGATGTAAAATAATGTATTTTGTTACATCAAAAGCTAACTGAATTCGAACCAATAGTCCATTAAACTCTAATTTAATAATCTTAATTTTTTTACAGTTATTTTGAGAATTCTCTACCACAATACGTAGTATCAGCATCTTCTGTTGATTCATTCAAAGCGAGATTGGAGCTCCACAGTGTTACAAACTGCAAGGATTATTACAGGTCGAGAGACCTCCTATCCTTACTAGTGAAGACTGAGATATGAAAATCTAGTATGAAAACAGTGATGTGAACTATTAACATTGTTTTTTTTTAAGCAAACAACTCAGACAACAATTAACAATCATAATTGAGATCAGGAACCGACAAGTGTTAGACCAGCATTGAAAACCTGGAAGCACTGGACGAACGTTCCGTCATACTATGGGACTGTCCAGCAGAGCGCATCCACGATCCCTCACGCGCGACTCCAACCCAGTACTAGAACTCCGAAAAATGCCACCGGAAGCTGGTCACTAGTTAGTATATGATAATTGTTCTACTGTGTCAGGTGTAAGGTGGTTACTAACTGAAAACAATGGAGGATGGTCGCTCAGTATCGTAGATTGATTGAATCTAGACACTAAAACAGCTGGATCCAGGTTCAATGGTCTAGAGTTTAAGGGTTCGCGCGAGACAGAAGGTCCTGATTTCGAGACCTGCATGAGGGATAGTGGATGAACATTGCTGAGAGAGAATTCAGAAAATGAAATAATCAAAATCGTGATTGAATTATACTACTTACTTTAAATCTATATTAGAAGAGATTTTATTCACATTAAAAGATGATTTCATTTCATTAAATAATTTTCTAAGAATATCATCACAATTACAGATATTATCAAGTTGAATAGTTAATAGATTTAACCAATTTTGAAGTATTTCATTCAATTTTCTATTCGATGGTAAACCAGATATTGATAAACCATTACAGAAATGTATAAATATTTGATGTTTAGCAAATGTTGGACGTTGTTCTGAAATACATTTAGAATTAAACTTTTTTTGTATTGTGTTATTCGTTGAAAATGATGTATACCAATCGGATTCGATCAATGATATTGTTAAAGCTGACAAATAGGTAGTTTTTCCACTACCAGTAGGTCCAACAATTAAAAGGATACTACCATCACAACCTTGAAGCAAATGATATTTTTTTCAGCGAAAAAGAAAATGGATTGAAATTGTGTGAATTTAGGCTTAAAACAATAAAGTTCTGTTAAATGAAATGGTCATTCGTTTAACCCCATATCCATGCATTTAAAGTGATTCAATATTGACAATGAAAATCATTGATAATAAACAGCTATTGTGTTAGAATATGGTGAATTGAAAATGTACATTATTATTAGGTTTATAGCTCAGTGTGTAGTTTGAAAGTTACTTAATTGTTACGAAACTTGAACGTCTAAAGTTTGAGTACTGATAGATTAATACTAAGTAACCTAAGTTAAATAGATGTCCTTTGGTAGCACTGTATCTGACTCCAATTATATCGTATAATGATGATTGCCGCCCACCGTCATATATAATTACCGAATTAAATAGCGTCAGTGAATAACGGATTAAGAATAGATCAAATACGAGAATGAAGTTTGTGCACGCATATTTCGTACACTCGTTGATCTAAACAAACAATCACGGGAACGAAAAGAAATGACGCGCAGTGGAGAAGGCGAGTAAGCCAACTCGATTTAATCAAGCGTGACTCAGACCAAAAATAATTTACATACACGTAATGAGTAGTGCAAACAATTAACACATAAACGATATTAAATAAATTGGTCTATCCAGAAGCCATTCAAACACAAACTAATTTTCGAAAACATACTTTTAAAAAAATACTTCAACATTTATCCATTATATTAAACAGCATCAAAATTACGTGCACGCCTTGCATAAATTCTTAGATATTAGGTGATCTTTGAATTATCAGACAGGGTTTTTGTGGAAATTGTAGTATTTTCATTGTTGAATCCATGAGTCGATTAAAGTTAGACTATCCCTTTCTGATAACAATCATCATGTGCTCACTAGTGATTGACTTCAACAGGTACTTCCAGGAGGTGCCAAATATATATGCGACACACAAATCGAATGATTTGTGTGAGTCCTGGGATACAGTTCCGGTGACAAAACTGAAACACGTGGTTTTCGTAGTAGGAAGCTCCCCGAGGCTTTCACCTGAAGGTCTACTTCACAATGCAACTTTAGGAGATGCAGTCCCATGGTAGCAGGTGACCAATAATAGGTCCAGTTCTTCTCTCAGAATACTGAAACTCGTCTGCAACACTGGTTTGGAATCAGGGTTTTCCATATTAACCAAACCAGTTAAAGCACCGGACACTCGCTTTTCATTCTTTCAATTTCATAAGCCACACCCCCACCATGATAAGTCAGTAAGTAGGACTTCCCTAGCAGAGACTGTATACGCGTTGCCGTGTGAGATCATTTCGAGAGAGGGGGCTGACTCTCCCGACCCGCTTCCGTACTAGAGTATTTAGGTGATTATTATCGAAAACTTCAAGTATCCTTAAGCCCTTCATCAACCTCGAGAAAAATCACTTTAAATTGACCAGTCAGATTTTAAGTACCAAATAATCAAATTTAAAATCATTTCGTTTGATGGGTTTCCTTTTTTAGAAAAAAAACTATTACCTTGAAGGTTTGTTGAATAGTTTGAATTGTTTCGTACACTTAAGTTCTTTTCAGTTGACTGAATTGCACGAGCCAGATGAACTCGATGACCGCGTTCAGTTAATGCATTAAAAGCTTGTTCTACTTCCAGTAGATGACGTGGTCCAATTGCACATGCAGCTGAATAAACATATTCTCGTAAGAATTCAATAGTATTCAATGACTTATTAACAGTTATAGGCAAATTATTATCACTATTATATACCTGAAAAAAATATATAATAAAATGAGAAATTAAAAAAATGCATATTGAGAAATAAGAGACAAATCCAACTAATATACCATGTGATTTAAAAAATATTGAAAAGTATAAACTCATACACATATATATAGGACATGCTTCCCGTTAGTTTGAGTCCATGTGAACAAAGTGAGGGTATTTAAATGGATTATTAATTCGACAGTAAGTGAATATATATATATATATATATATATATATATATATATATATATATATATATATATATATATATATATATATATATATATAGTTTAAAAGAAAACTAGTGCTAACAAAACAAAAACATAACATTAGTACCTGTATATATCAAGTTAATCACTGTTGAAACCGGTTGTGTCATCAGATGGAAGCTTTCAGTTTGATGTCCATAAAATAATTTCAATCTATAGTTAGTGCTACGTTTGAAGAGATTACGAGAACACCTAAATCGGCGAACGGAACGAAGGCTCAGCGACACATTGGCAAGATAAGCTAACTATTCCAATGCGTCCCAGACCAACTAACTAGAGGTAAAAGTCCAGGTTCAGATGAGGGAAAGTATATTCCACAACTCAACCATAACTCAAGCGTATATTAACAGCATAAAAATGTCTTTGGCAAACGTCAAAAAATAACATACTAAAAGAGACAACGAACCAATGACATTTAGGATCCTTCCAAATGGGAAAAATAATCTCAAAGTAAAAATGAGCACTTCTGGTGCGAAAATAAAAAATTCGAATTTCCAAAATTACAAAATTTTGACGTTTACCAAGTGAGTTTCAGGAATTTATCATCCCCAAAAGTTACAAACCATAGATGATATATGATTCAAAATCGGTCATGATAGAGTAGATAAATTTGCTATTCCTTCGAATTTTCAGTCCTAAAATCAATTTTGAGTAAATTAACTTCGATCTCATTATTCAGTTGTATTAATGCATCAATACACAATAAACACCATTACCGCATACAAATCTGGTGGATGGAATAGCATGCTTATGTATATAATTGATACCATTACATAATGATAATTATTATTTATTTATTTCAACACATAGATATTGGTACAAGGAGGAACCAAATACATATGCGCCACACAAATCTCATTCGATATGTGTGAGGGCTGTAATACTGCCCGGGTGCCCAAACCGAAGCAGGAGTAATAATAATAATAATAATAATAATAATAATAATAATATCATCTTACAATCAGTTTTATCGATTATAATAAAACAGAAACTTACTGGAGTACTATCACTATCATTATGAAATAGACAAAGAAGTAAAGATTTAACTGTTGCAAAAAATTGACTTCCGAATTCATCTAAATTTCCCATTATTGGATAATTATTTATCAAACCATTGAATTGAGCTGAATAACTAAATCGTGAAATACACATAAATAACAAGTAATTCTCAGTAATAAAAAAATATAAAGATAATGAAAAGAAGTTAAAGGTAAACTGAGAAAAGCAAATCAGTTAAGTCGGTCTACGATAGTTACACAATGAATGTTTAAAATAAAGGATTACTAGGTAAAACTTTTCTTCGAATTAACTAAATTGTAGCTTGGACAAAAGATTATGTTCGGTACTAAGGACTAAATAACATAGCAGTGGTTATGGCTTAATAATAAACTAATACAGATATCTCAGTCATATAAGCAGTTAATTGTAGCTCAGTGGATAACATTTCTGTGTCACTGGATAGTGCAGATTCGAACACTATAAGATACGCAAGTAATATAAATTTTCTTTAACTAACTAATGGCAATGGATAAGAAATCTATGTTCATAAATTCATAGTTGTCACGGTTCTTTCCTTTGTACTATTTAAACTTGGGTTAATTTAATTTCGATTATTTATTTACTCTGAAGAATTGGCTTACATTAAGTTACGAAACGTCAGAAATACAATTTTTCTCCTCATTGGGACATAACAAAATAAAATTTATTTATTGTTAACTCTCTAACCAATGCTCAATTTATTTGAAACCATCATGTCCTACCTTGGCATTGATACCTAATTCACGTTTTTTTTGTTATTCCTTTCACAGAAATACACTCTAGATTGATTTAAAAATAAAAGACTTCGGCAAATTGCAAATACCTGTTAATAGAATCACAGAATGAGCGATAGTAATTATGAGAGTGAATTGATAGGTAAAGATGTAATACCAGTTTATCGTAATTTTTTATGTATTAAGCTTTCATGTAAGCACTTAGTACAAAAGCTATAAAAAAGGGAGTCTAAACTGGATTAATTAGAGTTCAAACCTGCGATCAATAAGTTGAAAACAAAACACTTAATCTAATAAGCCACCTACTTAAACACATTAGTGAATGCAATAGATTGACTTACTTATGACTAACAATAACACCATCATTACGAATTAATTCCTTGAAGGCGTTAAGACGATTACGTTTTTCAACATCATACTCTTCAAAGCAATGTTTCAATTCATCTGGTACATTTCTAAAAATAGAAATTCGTAAATGTATCAGTTTAAAACAATGTTTCTACATTATTATCTTTGAAATATCAGTAGGTTCAGGAATATACAGGTGAAACTGACCAAACGAAAACTCTACGACAAAATGACCAATAAGCTAGCTATTCCTTTGCGACACGGCCCCGCTAACTAGAGACAGAAATCCACGTTCGAAGATGGAAATGTGTTCTACAAACAGCCAGAACCACGAACAACCATGACAAGTCTAATCGAAAATACACTCATCTATATATTGGTTGTACACCCATTTTCGATTAATAATTAGGATGAAATCACATACATGAAAAATACATATTGTTATAACAAATTATATAGTTCATGTCAATTGAATACAAGAATATCGTATGTTATATAGAATAAAAAGGTCATACGGGAAAACAAAACCGAATACTACACTGGATAATCATTACATTGAATTAAAACGGAAATAATGTTGAATCAAGAATCATAATGAGTAAATCAATCTAATTTTGACTTTTCTTCCTATCATATCATGAAGATCGGTAAATTATCAATGCAACACCGTAATATACATTTAACCAACAAGAATATTGGATTGTATATTTTATATGTTATATTTAAAATACATTCTTAAATAGATTCATCATGATCTTATCGACAATTACTTCATTTTTCTGATATGGAAAAAACGAACTTCAGAATCAACTAACTGTTGAAATATATGGTCTTCGTTCATGTACTGTATTCAACAGTTATCTGATGTTAAAGTATGAAACTTGTGTGGAATGCAAAATAACGAACCTATATTTCTTTAAGGAAAAAACACATCATCGCCATCATCTTATACCAATTAGTCAAAACGACATGTAAAACTCTCTTCCATTTGACTAGAACTTACTCTATAGATGCTGAATCTCTAATGAAAACACAAATTCGAAGACGTATTGCCTCATGAAAACTTATTGTATTCTGCTGTCGTCTTTCATGAATAGGGACTTTAGATATGGCAGCTTGTCTAGCCATATGATATTCCATTTCAGTCATAGACATTCCAGGTTTATAAAATTTGCACACTTCAGATAATAATGATTCAGGTAATGACATAACTACAGCTTCGTCTGGTATACAACCATAACTGGAAAATAAAATGAAGAAAAGTATGAGTTCATGTAGAGTTAAAATCTAGTCAAGACAACAGAGTACATCTCTGAATGGCATTCGAAATATTCTATTCAACTAATCTCTCGAAATTCCCATAACTTTCTAAAAGGATGATCAAAATGTAATCACCAATACAACTTGTTAGCAATGAACTAATATGTCCTGACATCTATAAATAATATCTAATATAAATTGTTGAGTGAATTGTCAAATATATATACCACTATTGCAAAGCAAATATAACTGACATTCTGGTAAACAACACTGAAGGCCACTACATGAGTTACTCTTTTTTAGTTATCACATAGAACGATTTCTGATGCATCAACTACAGTGACGAGTTATGAAAACATATCTGACAGAAATGACTGTGAATATGTTTCATGATATTTCGGTATCGAATATAATAACCAATCAATCATATATCACTAATATTGTTAAACTATAAAACCATAGGCTTCAATATATAAAGAGTTGACAAAAGTATTAGCTATGATTAACATTAATTAGAAAAGATCAATGAATATTTCACAAATATTTAATAAACCATTTGATGCTGGGCCAGTAGTTTAGAGGTGTTAAGCGTTTTTGAGTGAGGCCAAAGGCCATGAATTCGGTTCTCAGTTGGGGGTCATGGTTTCCCACTACTGGAAAGTCTCATGCTAGAATAGAATGACCTTGTAGTGCTCCCAAGTGTTCAGTAGTTGTCAACCTTAGATCATTTTCTAATTACAATAAAATATTTATTAGTTATAAACAGATATGAACAGTGGCTAGCAGTGGAATGCACAACATGCGTTTCGTCTTATTTAGGACTCGTCATCTGGATATACCTACATCCCAGAGTTGATGTTCACTCTGAAACTCGAACCCAGTACCACTCACTTCAAAAGCCAACGCGTTATCCACTTAAGCAATATAGAGGCAATCCGCACAGGATGCACATATGCCAATAAGAGACTGATCATTCGCAGTCCTAAACATGAATGCGAAGATTCAAATAACAAATACAAAAAATGAATTATTTAATAGTCATACAGAAAAAAATGACAAAAAAGAACACAACAGTATTACCGATCGCCCAATAACAGAACAAAAATATCACTAGCAGCCGCTTGTTCTAAACATATCTGTAGTACTTGTGAATTGTATGTAGCTGGTTCAGGAACACCCCAACGTAAATCGATTTCATTTAAATGTACACGTAAACCTAATGCAACATTTCTACGTAAAGCAGGCACAAGTATACCACATAATAGATCACGTTCAGCGTGCATATCACGAAATGTAGATGAAATGAACAACTGACAACATTTCCATCTAAATGATAACAATAGAAAAATGAGATACATTGATGAATTCTTGAAGACAGAGAGACAGTAAACAATATAAGTGTTCTTTTTTGAAAAAGTATTATGTTCGACAGTAGGTAATGCATTAATGCAACTCCAAAACTAAGTTTACACTGAGGTAAACATAATAAAGGTTGACGAAAAGAAATCGTCAACAGTTCAAATAGATCAAGAGAGGTTTTTACAAAGCCGAATGAAATAAATAGTTCCAAGTATTACATACACAGCTCAATTGCAAAGATAAGAAGATCAGTAACTCATTATTAGATAGGATACCCTAGTACCGTTTAACGAAAAGATACGTGCTTAAAAAACAATTTCTTTAGGTAGAGTTATGATTTTTTTCGAAATACTAATATTGATTCATTAGATATCGGAATAAGATTGATAGAGTCTAAATTGTCATATGTTGAAGGAGTCCAAAAAATATCTCTCGTCAAGTCCCTGAAGACCCAGAGATGTCAAGAAACTTTATATTCAACGAGCTTTTGATAGAATCTTCCTATAAATATCTAGAAAATACAGAATCAAGCGTCATAGTTTTGATTTGGATATTTACTTGTACTGCTACTATATTTAATATGATCCTGGAAATTTCCAGAAGCCCAAGATCAAGTGTAATACTATGAATACCGATTTTTCTGAATATAAATCAATCTTGGAGTAAAGCATTATTCGTATTTTGAGTATTCTTTCTAGTTTTCCAGTTGACATGCATAAGCAGTTGGGGATATCATAACCTGGTATGAAAGCAGTTTAAACGTATCGGTAGCAAGAATTAATAATTGACGATGAGAAAATCACACTGAACACTACCTTTGAACAATTAGAACCTTACTTGGAGCTCTAGGAGAAACGACTTGAATGGTCTCAAATAAAAATCATGGGAGCTCTCATGCAGACATGTATACCCTAGCAAAACCTCACATCTAATGAGGCGCAAATAACATATACCAACTCTGTCATGAATGACATTTATGAATTTTTACTTTTTACTCATATTTTAACGAATATGAGGACCTGTTCCGTATTGATCTCAGGAGACTGAATCACGCTACAAAAGTCAAAATACTTAGAACAATAGAACACGAGCACTATAGTAACTTTATTCTTTCAAACAATCCACGTGAATTTACTTTTGATGAAGCAGTTAAAAGATCGTTGTAAAGTTTTATAGGTTCACATCATTGAAAAATTCAGACCATCGACAAAAAAAGCTTGTTTTTGCATCATTCAAATGATTCTGTGTCATGAAAAATGATCTATCTTCAAACGATCATATAAACTTTAAGTCAAATTATTTCAAAAGTAAAAATACTTACCCTGATCTAAAATAATCACGTTTCGATAATATACCATTATCAGGATTTTCTTGTATTTTGGTTTTTAAATTAAAGTGATGTGAAATATTCTTATTTAATCCATAGATTTCATCTATTTTTTCAATACGTTCAAGTAATTTATCTTCATTTGGTTCAGCAATATAACGTAGAATTTGATCTGTACACCCTTTGAATTCAATCCAACCATCTTTACTACATGATTTTGGCCTTAAAAAAAAATAAAAACAAGACAAAAATACAAACTCAGTCTCTTATTGGTATAGGTTCATCCTGTGCGGATTGCCTGAATATTACTTTAAATTACAAGCATTATGAGCAAATATGGATAGTGGCCAGCAGTGGAATGTACAACGCGTGTTTCATCCTATTTAGGACTCTTCCATTTAGCTACTGAGTCCTGATAGCTAAGTGGATAACGGGATGACGTTTGAAGCGAATGGTACAGGGTTCGAGTTCCAGAGTGAACATCAACTCTTGGATGCAGGTACACCCAGCTGATGAGTCTCAGATAAGACGAAACGCGTGTCTTGGTTTCCACTGTTAGCCACCATCCATCTTTGCTAGCAATTAATTGGAATGAGAAAGACATATGGAACTGTACTTTTTCCAATCGTATTTAATATCTTAGGAAGGATCGTAGATCCTTAATTGTATAATATTGCAAATATATGTTCGCACAGTAAGCTATCAAATTATTATTGTTAAATATAACTCAGTTTAATTTAAACAAATTTGATTGTTAATCTAACTATAAATAAATCTTATAAAAGGTGGTGTATTCCCAGATCATTTTGACCTATTTTCGGATTGAAATAAATCTTTGTCACAAGTCTTCGCACCCTCTCTCTTGTGTTCAAGTTTTCGTGTAGCTTTAGTCTAAGGTTTCTCTATGGCTTTATTGCTGAAATCGTGAAATTGCATTACAAAGCAACCCCTAACTTAAAATTCTCAAGGCAAAAGAATAAGAACACCCTGTACCAGGAATTGGAGGCAGACATCGAAGTAATGATTAACACTTGAGAACAGCTGAAAAGGAGAGCCCGCAACAGTGGATTGGAGAATCCTGATCGGTAGCCTATGCTCTACGAGGGTAACAGGATTAAGTAGACAAGATGTTTTCAGTAATCAAATAATTATCAATAGTGAGACGTTTGAGATATGTGTAAATATTAGGTATTTCGGATACATATTTGTTTATGGATGGATCAAATTAGCCCGTTATTTATATGTGATGGTATTCTGCACAAGCTAAACATCCTGGAAAATTCATTTAAGTAGTTAAAAATGCATTAGATTTTGTTAAAATAATGAAAAGCTAGACAGTTTCAGGTGTATTTGTTGTTATTAAAGTTTGAGACAAGAACATTTCACCAACTTATGGAGTGTCAAAAATCGGATGACTAGCTAAAGTCATGTTTATTAAACAACAGTTCCATATGTGCTCAACCACAACAAAAATGATCAACATAACTAAAGTATATCAAAATGTTTTAGCCACTAGATAAAAGGACTCCTTCAGACATTGTTCGCAATCAGTAGAACTGATACAGTAAAACTAGACGCGAAGAGAAAACCGATTCTTGATGAGAATGTGAACCAAAATTACCTAATGTGAGTGAGACGTTTTGTCTGTACTGAGATAATGACTAAAATAAAAAACAGGATGCTGATAAACAGAAGAGTAATTCGGAATGAGGACATGGGCAAGAAGGTGCTGTGAATTAGGACTTGATAAGTAAAACCACTTGTTAAATATCCTAGGTAAAGAGGATCGAAAATCTATGACAATGATTTAAATGTTTTCATACATTACCATTTCAGTTGATTTTAAGTATATCATTATTCATATTCAGTGTACCTCCACTACATTTGTACATTTTGACCTATTTTAATTCTTGGTCATAGCATCCAAATGCCCTGATAAACTTGACGGTGTAGAGATCCCACTCCCCATTTGGAGATCCTTTCTCCATATGGTCACACATTTATAGTATCTGACACAAATGTCCCACTCAGTGCCTACATGTGTAAGGGATGTTCCTCGCCAAAGTGAGGTAAAAAATAAAACGTCTGAGCTTGAAGTATTAGGCTGGATACATAGGATTCATCTAGAGACGTTAACAAACCCTGATTCCAAACAAATAGTTTACATGAGTCCCATTATTATGAGGGAACGAATAATATAATAACTTATCATGATCCTCGAAGACCACGGGACGGTAACGCTTGATGTCGCAACATTACCTTTCAGGTTAAATCTTTGGGTCAGAAGCCCGATAACCTGCTAGATCCCCAAAACGCGCATTGTAAACGTCAAGATTTTGTAATTTTTTAATTTTGGAAATTCAAATTTTTTTATTTTCGCACCAGAAACGCTCACTTTTACCTTCAGATTATTTTTCCCATTTGGAAGGATCCTAAATGTCATTGGTTCGTTGTCTTTTTTAGTATGTTATTTTGTGACGTTTGCCAAAGACATTTTTATGCTGTTAATATACGCTTGAGTTATGGTTGAGTTGTGGAATATACTTTCCCTCATCTGAACCTGGACTTTTACCTCTAGTTAGTTGGTCTGGGACGCATTGGAATAGTTAGCTTATCTTGCCAATGTGTCGCTGAGCCTTCGTTCCGTTCGCCGATTTAGGTGTTCTCGTAATCTCTTCAAACATAACACTAAGAAAACCACCAGTTTCAGTTTGGGGCCTGAGAAGTGTCCCAGCGTACACGTAAAAATTATGAATTCTATGGTATATGCTACTTTTTATACCCAGTTGTTGCTACCTTGACGTGGTGGTCGGGCTTGCCTATCGTGATGAAGCAACCGAGCTATACTGGCTGGAACAAGCGTTCCTCAATGTCCTACCATGTCAGACAGGTCGGTTGAAGAGCGGTAAGACTAGAAGCAACAAACCTAAGGTCTGAAGGCGAAGTCGTACTGCTGACTATACAGAGGTGTGACAGTAGTAAGGTGTTTCCTTCAGACAACCAGCATGACAGCGATGCTGCCTTCCCGCAAGGAGGGTGAGGTTAGAAAAGGTCGACCCTAAAAATGCACACCTCACCTTACCTCACGGATTTCCGTGTCCGACGGTAAGGCTCTTTGAAGAACGGAGCTAACACGTCAAAAACCTTCCACGAAAAGGCCGTGCGCGACCGGCCTCAAGCAGTTGTCCCTTGGGCACTGCGGTCACGCTCTCAGGTCGCTGAGACCGCCTCTAATCCAATTTCCTTTTCAGGTACCGCCAGAAGAACCCTTCCACGATGTGGACAACCGGGAAGTGATAACCGCCCTCATATCTCTAACAGCACCCAAGACCACTGTATTCATAATCAACCTTCCTCTTCAATTTCTATTATTCCTCCTACATCGACTTTCAACCCTAAACTTCCTCCTTCGGCTTCTTCCTCAAGTGTCACCATAGCCAACGATTCTAGTGCTCAAAACTCTGTCCCAGGTCTACTGAAACCTCGCTCCAAACTACACATTGAAGCTTTCAACGTACGCACTCTACGTCAAATCGGTCAGCAGGCTTCCTTGGCTAAAACCCTAGTCTCTTTCCATTGATGTATGCTGTGTCTCCGAAACACGCATACAGGATTCCAGTGTGGTCATTCACTTGACCTCACCTCGGCAAAACGGAGAGCCAACGAGATACTCCCTACGTGTATCTGGTGACCCGATGGCCAGTTCTCGTGGACTGGCAGGTGTAGGCATAGCACTAGGCATGAGGGCGGAACAAGCACTGCTAGAGTGGATCCCCGTCAACAGTCGTCTATGTGTTGTTCGGCTAAACGGCCCCGTAAGAACTCGGAAGGATAGGGACACACGTCGTTGCCTTTTTGTCGTTTCTGCCTAAGCTCCCACTGACTGCAGCTCAGATGATGTGAAAGATGAATTTTACAGAAAGCTTTCTGAACTTCTTCAGAAAGCTAAACGTTCAGACATAGTACTCGTAGGGGGTGACTTTAATGCTCAGATAGGTAGCTTAAACCAAACAGAAAGGCATTTAGGTGGGTAATTTAGCATTCCGGCACAGCGAACAGATAATGGTGACCGTCTGCTGCAACTGTGCTCAGACAATCGCTTATTTTTAGCAAACACAAATTTTAAGCATAAGGAGAGACATCGTCTAACATGGTGACCTCCTACACCAAACCAACGATGGACTCAAATAGACCATATTGCCATCAGTCATCGTTGGAGAGGTTCGGTAGAAGATTGTCGCTCATTCTGGAGTACCTGCTTGGGCTCCGACTACGCCCTAATACGGGCAAGCATCTGCTTGCGCCTCACTGGACGCAAAAAAGCCACATTAAAAAGACCCATTAGAACTGAGTTGAGTAACGAGAAAACCAAAAATAGGTTCCATGAACAACTGAGTTCACACTTAGGTAGTCCTGAAGACGAGGCTGACCCAGATGTTGCTTGTAAAGACATGCAAGCAGCTGTGGAAGCAGCAGTGACATCTATTAGCAAATTAAACCACAGAGTTTCAAAGAACCAGTGGATTTCTTCAAAGTCTATCACACTGATGAATTCTCGCAAACTCGTCCCATCAGGTTCCGAACATGATGAAGAGCGACAACAAATCAGATCTAGGTTAACCAAAAGTCTAAGGAACGACCGTGAGCAGTGGTGGGCAACGAAAGCAAAAGAGATGGAAAAGGCGGCGACTATAGGGAACACAAGACAGCTTTACAGACTAATAAAAGAAACTGGAATTAATAAGTCAAGTATAAGTGAGATTATTTCGGAAAAAGACGATACACTCATCTGCTCCCAGTCCAGATGTTTAGAACGATGGGCGGAACATTTCAGAGAACAGTTCAGCTGGCCTTCAGCTACTCTACAACTACCCTCCATTCCCAAACAGCGTGAATGGAACATTGAAGTAGGTCCCCCAACTCTTGCTGAAGTTCAAAAGACTATAGATAATCTGAAACGAGGAAGGGCAGCTGGTCCAGATGGACTGGCTCCAGAAGTCTTTAAGGATGGTGGTCCAATTTTAGAGATTAGGTTGACTAATATTTTCCATCTGACTAGTCGCAATCACTTATCGTCCCAATATATAGGATAGGGTCAAAATCATCCTGTGACAACCATAAAGGGAATAGTTTAACTATTATAGTATCTAAAATACTAGCCTCGATAATTATCAAACGCCTAAGACTCGTGAACTGCAAACACGAGAGAACCAAGCTGGCTTCAGACCTGGTCGTGGCTGCATCGACCACATATTCACCATTCGTCATGTTCTAGAACAAAGGCATACTTATCGGCGTCCGACGATGGTGGCCTTTCTTGACTTACAAGCAGCATTTGACTCTGTAGACCGCGAGATTCTGTGTCAGTGTCTGTCATGGAAAGGCGTACTTCAGAAGTACATAAACCTTGTAAAGGCTCTTTACTCAATCACTACTAGTCGAGTGAGAGCTTATGGCGAACTGTCATCTACTTTTGCAACCTCAAGTGGTGTCCGTCAAGGATGTCCACTTTCCCCATTTTTGTTTAACTTCATCATAGATCTACTGATGGAAATAACTTTCTCGTCGACTGAGTTCTCGAGTATTGATCTCCATCCAGGAGGTCCACTTATCGACTTAGAATACGCAGATGACATAGTCCTGTTTGGTGAAGACGCTGACAAAATGCAGAGTCTTCTGGTAGCACTGAGCAACAATGCCAGGATGTTTGGAATGCGCTTCTCTCCCTCGAAATGCAAGTTGTTGCTTCAGGACTGGCGTGTCAACACCTGAACTAAGGATAGGGAGTGAAGAAGTCGAACGCGTTGACAACTTCACTTATCTTGGAATTCTGGTCAGCCCTAATGGGTTGGTATCGGACGAAATCTCAGCACTGATTCGAAAAGCTCGTTCGGCTTTTGCCAACTTACGTCACCTGTGGCTAAGGCGAGATATCCGTCTATCAATAAAAGGACGAGTATACTGCGCGGCAGTCCGTTCTGTTTTAATTTACGGCAGCGAAACATGGCCATTGAGAGTAGAAGACACTCGTAAGTTACTAGTATTTCATCAGAGATGCCTTAGAAATATTGCTGGCGTCTGTTGGGATCACCGGGTAAGTAATAGTGAGGTTAGACGCAGGGTATTAGGAAATGATGGTAAATCAGTTGATGAGGTTATGAATCTTCATCGACTGAGATGGTTGGGCCACGTGTTACGTATGCCTGAACGCCGATTACCACGACGTGCAATGCTATCCGGTATTGGAAATGGTTGGAAGTTAGGGGCGGCCAAACCAAAACGTGGCATCAGTGCTTGAAGTCACTAACTTCTAGTCTGAGCCATGTTGGTAGATGCAGACTACTTGGTTGGGGTCCGCGTGACTATCGTAACCAATGGTTGAAGACTCTTGGTGACATGGCTCAGAGTCGATCACAATGGCGTCGGTGTATACACTCCCTGTCTTCCCTTAAACTAAGAGATTAAAATCGCTTCATATCTTTCGTTCTACGAACCAATTCTTTCTTCTTGTACTATATCTCTATATGCAATCTTTCTCTTGTATATTACCACCTTTTACCTAACCACTGTTATGAATCCGGTGTTCATCTTGTTGTGCTGATGCGGTATGGCAACCTGGACCGATGCACATATGTGCCTGGTCCTACGTTGCGACTGACTGACTGATACCCAGTTGTACCATGTTTTATGGGAATGAAATGAATAAATAATGAAGGAATTCACTGTTAAACAAGGTTACTCACATTTGTACACGTGTTTTAAAGGTCAATCATAAAAATACTTATCTCATGAAATTACAATAACTAACTACGTAAATCAAATACCAAGTAATGAACACTTGCCATATGTCTTCACCACTCAAATTTCCCCAGATTGCTTTCAATGGTCCAATGTATGTCCGATAATTCGTAACATAATCAACAATTTCCTTATGACAATCTCCAAAGATAACAATTTTATCAAACTGAAATAAAAAATCCACAAACCATTAACCAATATATAACATGTAGGTAAACAAAATACCGATTATTGGAAAGGAGTATAAATCTAACGAAAAATCAAGGTATGCAAATAAAATCTTGTATGTGAAATGTATGATAATCAACGGACGCATACAAATAAAAATTGATGAATAATAATCAATTGAAAATAGATAGAAACTATAACGAAGGTTCGTTTACAACGGCAAAACCTGGCGAATTAACATCTCCATCTAATCTATAGTTCGAGTAATGAACAAGATAAAACACTGCACAAATCACATGTGCTGGAGATCGATTGAAAAGTATGAAAAAAACCTCAGAATAAACAAACTATTTAGTGAACCACTGACTTGAAGATGATTAATCGATGAATGTATTGAAAACCTAAGGAATCCAATGAGGTCACGAATAATCGATTGGATAATTTTAAAAGTAATATTTGACATTTCCTAAACACTGATCATTATGTGTAGTGATCGAGAACTCAGGTGGGGACAACCAATTTACTGTATACTACAAAATTACACAATACCTTCGTAAAATATGAGAACCATACATAAAAGACTTCAATTGCAAATATTTCATCAATTTTCCTTTAAATTCTGTTTCATGCTTTCAATTCACAATTACTTTTCATTCCCCTTTAAGTTTTCTTCAATTCGATCTTCATAGCTTTCTGCTGCCATGCATTTCACTTCTGATTGGTGTTAAATAAAACTTAAGTCAACAGACATAAGTAGCATACACCACATGTGAACAACACGTAATCTCCTATGATTCAATTCAATTTGATAAACTTATGGGTGACATGTCACTTTTATAACAATATTATCATTATGTTACGTCATAAGTGTACAAGTACATCATTAATGACCTTGGAGAACACTAAACAACAACGCTGTAACAATGTGAACAAAACACGTAAGAGTAACAAATCTATGGTAGTGTAGAATGAGAACAACTGATTTAAATTAATAAAGAAATAATACTGAATAGAGATTTAAATGCATAGCTTCAAAAATTTAGAATTGAACATTCAATTAATTAGAATAAAAATCCTCATAGAATATTTAAAAGTAAAGAATATTTGAGCGAACAATTTTTTTCAACAACTTCATCATCAGGCTCTCCATAATTATAATATTTTAAAAAGGCCAAAATAAGGCACGCATTAAAATAGAGGAAGCTTTCTCTGTTTTATATCAATTTCCAAAATATCTACCTCAAGGAGCTAAACTACGATTATTCTACATAGCCGAAGCCATTTAGATCGACTCCAGAAAACCAAACTTATGTAACCAGAAAAGGTATAGCCAGCCTCTATGTTTACCTTGGCCCACGACTGGATCACCGGATACCTAAACTGAATATTATAAACATCTTATTTTAAACATCTTTTTTTATTACCTCTATCTTAATCTTCACAACCATCATTCCCAATTCGTTTATCGTAATTAACTTGATAACACCCCGCTTATTACATATTATATTCACACCAGTGGAGCTAATCCGTGTCGGGTAGAAACAGGTATCTACCTCAGTACAATGAAAGACGGTCGCACAATTTCGTGGATTGGTTGAGGTTAGACATTAACACCATTGGATGCCGGCTCAGTGGTCTAGTTGGTTGAGCGCCTGGCGCGAGACTGATAGGTCCTGGGTTTGGATCTCGCGAGGTGCGGGATCGTGAATGCGTACTGCTGAGGAGTCTCACACTAGGACGAAACTGCCGTCCAGTGCTTCCAGGTTTTCCATGGTGGTCTAGCTTCAATTGACTCATGATTTCAACTATTCTTTCTTTTTAATAAGAACAAATTGATTGAAGAAATAAGTACCTATAAGTTAACTATTACACTCAATCATCTGAAATTTATACTGATAACTGTTAGATCGTTTCCTCTTGCATAATGTATCTCTGTTAAGAGGAAAAAAGAAATATATTTACATTCTGCCTTGTAATTTAAGAATGAAAGTAATTCCATCTTATATTTCGGTCAGATATAAAATGAAATGTTTTAAAAAGTATTCTTCATTAAATAGGTGTACGTACCTGTTTCCGATAAGCATAAAGTTTCTCAAAAACTGTCGTAACTGGAGTAGATATAAGTGACTGGTAAACAAAAGAGAAGATCATTTTAAAACTTATTGTATTAACATCCTTTTTTGTAGGAAAAGAAAAGAAAACGGGTTAACAACAGAGTAACATACTTTTCTACATATATATATTTTGAATCTTATTAAACTGTGTGCAGAAGCTAAAGTCTCAAGCCATGAAATCACTCTGAAAAAACAATTAACTATCAAGATCATATCGAATTATTATGTGCATTACTGAAGAGTCCCACGCCAGGATGAAACAACAGTCTAATGCGCCCTATTTTTCAGTGATTGCCTAACTGATGTTGGTACGTGGTCACAATGAAAATTTATAAATACCTACGCATTCCCCAACTACATTATAATCGATAACAGAAGTAAATATATTCTTGGCTCTTACTTCGCCATAATTGTGAGTTCGGGGGAGTGGAATCAGGAATAATACATTAAGTGTGAATCAGCATTCCTGGTGGTTATGCTTAATGAGTCGTTTACTCGAATCACTCTGTAGTTTCATTGTAAGTAAAACAGTCCCAATATAACATCTAAGTCAACTTGCTGAAAACTGATGAAAGTAACTGTGAACGCAACTAAGTGATCGAAACGACTCATATAATATAAACCGTTTGTGAGCTCACTTTTTTCTTAACCAAAAACAAACAACGAAATTTATTTTAACACGCACACTTGGAAAATAACATCGAAGCACAAAGTTTGAAACTTACACCACGTGTTTTATACATTTGCTTTGTTCTTTCTAGAATGCCCATATTTTTATGTTTAGATTGAGATTTGTTATGCTTCGAGTTATTATTTAAAGTCTGTTTTTTTTTTAATACAACTTCAATTGGAGTTAAATTGTATTGATCACCAACTGTAACATAGGTTGTAGGTGTTTCACATATCGACGTACACATTGCGCCAAGAAGGAAACCTAGAATTTTTATCTATTAAGAAAATAAATAATGATTAGTAAAAGACACATTTTTAAAATCGAAATTAGTTTGTTATTACTGGTGTTATGATCTCTCTTATTACGACCTAGCTACTCTTATCTCTTTGGACACTACTCGACAAGTCTACAAAAAAGCACATAGCTGAACAGGAACGTAATTATATTCTAAATAAAACAGGTTGGATAAAATTAGGAATGACAATAAGAAAAACGTTGTATATGTATAATTTTACACAAGAAGATTCCAGAGTATTCTTTAAGTATTCGCTAGAACTGATTGACTAAGAAACGACCAATCAATATGCCTCAACACAATCATATTGATATTTAAAAAATCAATAATTCCCATCAACTTCTATTATCACTCTACACTCCGTCTAACAACTGTTGAAACTTCGACACCACGTTTCGCTACATACTACATACAATCTTGTGAGTAACACCCACTACATCTCCATTCAACAATACGAATATACAATAACTATAGGTAACATTGAGGCACCCACTGACAGTGCACTCATGCAAACGCAGACTGATAAAAAAAACTTCAATTATGAAAATAAGAAATAACGAAAAACATAAAATTTTATGCAGAATCCAAAACATTAGGATCAATCGATGTGAATAAAGAATGAATATATAACTAATCTAATGGGAATAAATTTACTTACATAAGATTTCGATGATCTATGTTTAGAAGGATTGACATATTTACTAGTAGAACAAATAATTAATGTTGAACCACATATTGGTGGCAAATTATGCTTCATTGATACTTCTAAAGCGGTACTTAACGCATTTTTATATCGGTCCAAAGTCTCGAGATCGTAACGGATCCACCTTTTTACAACACAAATACATAAAATAAAAAAATTCTATTTTAGGTAAATAATTCACACATTGAAATAACGATAATTAGGGTCGAATGATTGAAGACGTTGTTTAATATGATCCAAAATCAAGGAATGGAGTAAATTTATTCATATTTTGTCTATCCTTAGATTATGAATTTCAAAAATATTTCATACTTGCTATCACGTAAATTTATTCTTTATTCTCCAATCACATTTTTTAATGCTTAATCATATCACTAACACTGATGCTATTAATACTACTGATACTACTACTTTAGTGTTCATCTTCATAATTTGATCTTGTTGAGTGCACATATATTGTGAAATATCTTAGACTGATCCATGTATATGCCAAGTTCGATATTGCTTAGAACTCACTGACTGATTAACTCTTAAATTAACAGCATGAGTAGATGATGCTATTAGTTGCGTTTTGTGCTGGATTTACCGTACTATAAATTATAATCATCATTACTAGTCAAGTGATTGACAATAACAAGAAAGAATACTATGGAATTTTTCGACTATCAACTGAAACTCTATAAATAAATCGAAAGAAATAAAGCATTATGTTAGCGGGACATAGACTGGATTAAAGCATGCTCAATGCACGATTGCTTTGGTGCACGCTGATTGGCTAATTCTTATTCAATCAGCACTAGTCGATACTTGGAGAATACTCTAGAATCTTCTCATGTAAAAACTATAAATATACTAACGTTTTCCCTATTGTGCTTCTTACTTGCTTCTTGCTTCCATTTAACCTTGTTATTTGGAATATAATCTCTTTCCTGTTCAACCGTGTTCTGATTTGGGGTCTTGTCGAGTGATTTGGTGTCATAGAATACTAAGCAATAGGAATAGCTGGGTTATAACCGTAAGAAAGATTATAAAACATTAACAAATACAACAGATGGAAGGTTAAGAAGTGAACAACATTTTTATATTAACAGATTCATTGGCAATGTTCTTTCAATTAATGAACATGAGTTTAAAATGTTGACTGGAAACATTAAATACTGACATTTTACAAAACGATTCAATATCCGACAATAGGCTTACTTACATACGCCTGCTACTCCCAATGGAGCATAGGCCGCCGACCAGCATTCTCCAACCCACTCTGTCCTGGGCCTCCTTTTCTAATTCCATCCAATTCTTGTTCATCTTTTTCATGTCTATTTCCATTTCTCGGTGTAATGTGTTCTTTGGTCTTCCTCTTTTCCTTTGGCCTTCAGGATTCCATGTGAGGGCTTGTCTTGTGACGCAGTTGGGTGCTTTCCTCAATGTGTGTCCTATCCACTTCCAGCGCTTCTTCCTGATTCCTTCCTCCGCTGGGATCTGGTTTGTTCTCTCCTACAGTACGTTGTTGCTAATAGTGTCCGGCCAACGGATCTGAAGTATTTTGCGTAGACAACTGTTAATAAACACCTGTATCTTCTGGATGATGGCTTTTGTAGTTCTCCAGGTTTCCGCCCCATACAGTAGAACTGTTTTGACATTTGTATTGAAAATCCTGACCTTGGTGTTGGTTGACAGTTGCTTTGATTTCCAGATGTTCCTCAATTGTAAATATGCTGCTCTTGCTTTGCCGATCCGCGCCTTCACATCTGCATCAGATCCACCATGTTCATCAATGAACAATAGGCTTACTTGAATTTAAAACGAAATCACATGAAAAGAGTTTTCTATAAAGCTGAGTTTTCTTATGTCTAGTCCACATTCCTGATCAACTTTTGATCAAGGTTAATTGATTCAATATAGCGATACATTGTGTCTAATGTTAACTATTGAATGGTGATCGACAGGAAGCCTCAAAATATAGTATTTATGTTTGTATACACCCAAAACCAAGACCTATGTTCAGTATTAGAGGAACATATGCTTCCCTCCAAGGTAATTTGGTGGCTTTCTCTTTGATTGCTACACTGATCGAAGCAAATTTGAATCATATATGGAGTATCAATCACCTGATATGTGTTGACTAGCACGGAAGATAGGTTCGTAGTTGACTAACTCTAATCATCTAACAGAATATTTTCAATGTTAATGTACTTTGGCTTACTAGAAGGCACATATTACTTCGATCAATAAATACTTGTTATCTCAAAAAACAAAACAAAAAACATACGATACAGTGAAAATCGATGAATACAATACCTTTTGGTTTCGCGCGCGAGCACTTAACCGTTAGACCACTGAGCCGGCATCCAATGGTGTTAATGTCTAACTTCAACCAATCCACGAAGTTGCGCCACCATACACCATTGTCTTCAGTGAGTTCCTATCTCACAACAGACCTGGTTGAAGTCCACTGTTAACGGCTTCTCACTAGAACTCCAGGAGTGTCTTCTGAAGTCAGTCACTAGTGAGCAAGTGATTATTATTATCAGAATGGGTTTTGTGGAGAGATTTAGAGATTTCACTTGTTAAAATCATGAGTCAATTGAAGCTAGACCACTATGGAAAACCTGGAAGCACTGGACGGCCGTCTCGTCCTGGTATGGGACTCCTCAGCAGTGCGCATCCATGATCCCGCACCCCCGGGATTCGAACCCAGGACCTATTGGTTTCGTGCGCGAGCAATTAACTATTAGACCACTGAGCCGGTATCCAACGGTGTTAATGTCTGATACCTTTTGTTAAAAGGCTGATTGAAACTCATAAAAACTTTTAATTAGATGTACAACAAACAAGAGATTTCTTATCATAAAAAATATAAACTGAAATCTTACTCTCTTTCTGCAAATTTTATGTGGTTCAATAACCATTCCGATTTTTTCAATAGCCTAGGTTTATTGCTCTTACGTTTCAATAAGTCTGTAGCTGTGAGAACAGTAAAACAGAATTTTTTTAAATAAACAAGATTACAGTGAAGAATAATAATAACAATAGTGAGAACCTATAGGGGTTCCCGTTAGGTTAAATTTTTTACTTCAATTCTATACAATGACTTTAATAACTGAATCACTCAACGACAAAAAAATTACAATATGATATAATTCAACAGTTTTCAAAATATCAGAATAATATATTGTACCAACTAGATAAAAGTAATCGACGTGCATGCAAATACAGTCGTGTAGATAGACTAAAGTTAATAAACATCCATATACCATGTAGAACACACATGGGAGACAGTCACAAAACAACACACAATGTAACTACATTTCACAAACACACAGGTTTTATACATTTGGCTTTGAACCATACTTTAGTTGTGTGATAGCCAGTAGTACTATCGCGGTAGTATACTGAAATAAGTGACGATTCAAGCTAGTGGACAAGTAGTTGTAAGCCGAGTGTTTTAACTACTAAACCAATACGAATTGTTAATCAGCTGGCATGCTCTAAACTATATAGTGGATTTAATCAATTCAGTATAAGTAATATGATATTAATGTTAAAGACTACAATTGAATGTAATCGAGAAGCTTTAAAAGGATAATCACTTTTAATGATAATGTAACTTTTAACGCTGAATCCGATAAAACACGTAGAACACTCATCTATTTCATAAACTATCTAGTAATAAACATTCTAAACTACATTCGGTAAAATTAGGACGGAGAATAAGTGATGTACAAGGGATTTAGAACGCAATTACCAGCTTATTGCAATTCAAATCCAAAAACTCACATAGGTACATATTCTGATATAACACAGTTGTTAAGTACGAGTTTATCTGCTTCCCTTGTTTGTTTAAACATTAGCGATGTCAGCTGTCTTTCAAAATTAAATTACGTTGGGTGGAGTCCGAACCAGTGACGGGATGTTTTAATCACGTAAATACAGCTATGCAATACGTAAATTAACTTATCTACCAGGTATTCGGGTATGAGCCACACTAAAAATGTGGAAGCCAATGATGCTACTATCAAAGTAGCTGAAGCAGAGTGTGAACCTGGAATTTAGTGACTGAACGTTGAGCGCCTTATCCACTAAATTATCGCTTAACAACTAGATAACTTTAAAAACTCTCGAAAATAAAAATTAGCAGTGGAATCCATGGCACATGTTTCGTCCTCCTTGCGATTCGTTACATTGATGTACCTGCATCCTCGAGTTGATGTTCACTATTGGGCTTGAGCCCAGTACCATTCACTCCAAACGCTGTCGAGTTATCTACCTAGCTACTAAGTTCAGATAGCCACTAACTTGTGCAATGGGATCCAAATAACTAATACATATGAACTCGAAAGTAAAGTTTCAAAATATTTACGGATATTTGAGTATAATCATATACTCATTTAAAAAAGGTTGACTAACCTAGATTTGCACTCTGAAAAAAACACTATTCATTACTTACCTAAGGTAAGGGATATAAGTCGCTGAAAACGAAATCTGTTTTCAAGTTTATCAATAGTATCAGAAGCCGAGAAATAACGGAACGGAAACTGCTTCCCTTCTATAATAATACGCTGTAGGCATTTAAAAAACAACAGAAAATATACTAATTTTTGTTGGATTTAGTGACTATGATAAAAACTGAAATTATACATTATTCAACATAATTTGGTTTCTGATGAGAACAATGTAAAAACCAGAGACTTGATCACAGCAAACAAATGATTTGGTTCAAGAGTTCATTCTGTATCTACCTCTAAATCATAAGATTCGTATTGTTCCACATTCTTTAATTTCATTCTTCCCTCTCAAGCTATCCACCTTTCGTTTTTAGATTTCTATATTCAAATGATAATTACTATTATATCCCAAACTTTGCTGATCATCTTGCTAACTTATTCCATCTGTTTCCCTGTCTTCATTTCGTTATGTGTAGTGTGACGATTTGTATCAATGTACACAATTGTACCAGATCCTATGCTGTTTACAATTAACCGACTGACAGAACCTAACCAACGTGATGACATTCATTAAATTTTCAGGATATTTTTTCAACTCCTCATCCAAAAAGGTAAACAATTTTGTTTAAAAAGATGCATAAATGTTCAGTAAGCATTATTATTAGGGTGCTGCAATGCTTTACTTGACAACAACAGAGCGGTGAGTCAGTCAACTGAGCACTCTACTTTTGGTCACGAAGTCATTTTTTCGAACGCCAACCTATCGACTTCAATCTGAGCAAACGATTAATAGTATCACTGGGTAACACTCGAAATCTAGTTCTAAATCGAGTGTACCAACCTGTACCTAGCTGATGAGTTAGTAATAACAATGACGTTAATAAAACACTCACTAATAACTTAATATTGTTTTAAAAGATAGAGATAGCTGGCCGACAGTCCTGAATAGAACTTTTTGTTACAGTATGAAATTTACTGCTGTGAGATAAAAATTCACCCTCATATATATATATATATATATATATATATATATATATATATATATATATATATATATATAACAACTGGCCAAGTACCACATCAGTCAATTCGTTCTGATTCTGTCTATGGTAAACAGACGCTTTTTATCGAATAACTGTCATGTTGAGTGATTAGAAAGAAACAATGCGAGAATCTGTTGTGAGACACAAGATTAAAATAATAAAAAACACTTACAGGATCTGTAAGCCTCTTTAAGACTATATCATGAAGATCATCCTCAATACCGGACGTCAAAATATTGCGCAGATTTCTTAACATCGCCATATGTGGGACTTTGTTTAAAGCTATGATAGTTAATAAGAGTTAATTTATAAAATACCACGTATTTTAATATACAATCATACAGATACACCAAATGAAATAAATGGTCAACTCAAAAGTGGGAATATTATAAGTCAAATTATTGTTAACACTGTTTAAATTACAGCTAATGTGAACCAATTTTAAGACAAAGTCATACAGCACTTGATTTTATATCTTGATGATTGTGGAAAAATGCATGAAACCGAAAAGGATCACACTATATATACACTCTGTCTGAATACTTATATTTTGGAAGTTTGAACCGTTAATCACATACATAGATGAAGTTTATTCATGACTAATTCTTATAAGGTAATCAGAAAGTATTTATTAGCTGAAGCCACAAAGCAGCTTTAGTTTTTATGCAGAGAAATGACTATAAAATACAATAGCTTGCCCCCCTTTTACTTTGTGACTAGGACATAACCATTGAACTCAGACGTTAGAGGACTACAGGTATTTAATTATTAATAGTGTTAGAAAGTCAACAACATTTGATGTAACTAGGGTTTGAACACAACTGGAATTAAGTGTAAAGTTAGAGAGGAAAAGCATACATTAGTCAATGAACGATTCGACCTAAATTAACTCAAATGATTAAAATGTTATCACACCTAAATCATATTATATGTGACAATGCAAAATATAATGGAGGAATTTCGATGTTGTCATGCTTCAGTTTATACAAATAAATAGTATCTACAGATGACATACCGAAAGTGTACCTTAAATGTAAGTTCATAGAAATGTACTTGAAATATGATCGACATTATATTTATTACTAATGTTCAGATGCCAACGATTCAACAACAAAAATGCGTAGAATGGGAAATATATTAGTAGCATGATTATTTAGAATACTTATTAGCGAATTTTTCACTAAACTGGGTAACTCTGCAATCGTGAACTACACCAATCAGTATGTAATGATTAGATAAATGTTTTTTTCTGGATGCAACAACACTACAGATAAAAACCAAGACTATTTTTAAGTTATTTCTTATTATGATTTTCCCCAAAGTGCTAAAAATATTCAACATACTATGGAACTTACTTATAAGTTTTGACCAAGGATTTGGCGTGTATCTATAGCGTGACAATTCTGTTTCCCACGTAACAGGAATAGGAAACTTCATACGTGTACCTGCTTTGGATGAATCCCAATCTCCTTCCAGTCCCATACGAATAAAATCAGTACTATTCGATGGGTAAGGTTTTCTCAGAACGCACATAACGTTGAACTTGGGCCTTGATATATGCAATCTACGAATAAGCTCCTTTATTGTAAAATATATACGAGGTGAGTGTGCCAATCTATATATAATGGCATCGATATCCTTACTGACTACTACACCATTTTGGCTTCTTTTCAGAGCCTAAGGAAGATCACAGACCAATAAACAACGAATTACCTTCGATTTCTTTGAACGATTAGCTCTTCCTCTGGTTTTGGAATGTTTAGCTGTTAAAGTGAATTTAACAAATAGAAACTCATCTTACCAAGTTGGTACTGATCAAATTCAAGGAACTTTGATGTCATACTATTCCGTAAGACTTTTGGCATACCTTTCAAACTTGGATTGCCACTTATCATCTTTAAAGAGATTATTACATTTTTCGAACTTACTGCATAATATTCGGCAACCTCTATCCAGTCTGACGGTGTGCGAATACACGAAGAAAAGTATTTCTTAATAAAAGATCTAGACCGCTCATTACAGCTAGCAACAGCTATTAACATATTGGTTGTTGTACGTATGTTCAACTCTCTACGGCAATACAAAGCCGCCTAAAATCTAACGTTTCTTAAAAATGTATAAAGTACTTTAAGTATAAATTCTGGATCTTTATCAATACAACAGTGAATTGATTGTCCCAAAACAATTTTCTTTTCTTTAGATGGACTGCCATCGACTATAGAAGAGGATATGCAGCTAATTAACTCTAGCTGCAAGTTTGAATACATTAAAGAATGTATAAACACATACTTTCAGCTGTTTGTAGGTATCTCTGCGTTCGTATGTCAGTAAATCACCAAATGTATTATGAATAGAATTTCTCTTCGTAGAATCATCAACCGTACATTCTAGTATATTTTGAAAACTAGTATCTGAAATTTTGATTATAGCGTCGTTTAACCAGTCAATAGGAGTTGATTTAAGTGAACTTGGAACACTTGTTTTTTTCTCCTCATGATGCTTATCATTAGATCCGACTGTTACTTCGTGATCACAATGTAGGATTGAACCTGTGTATGATAGATTGATGGATGATTTTAATGATTTGTTATTTAATGAGAGCGAAGAAAGTGTATTGGAAGCTGATGAAGTTTTAGTGAAAGGTTCATCTAAAAGTTTGTTTTTCACTAAATTCTTTCCTTCCAAATATACAGGTGATAACAATGAAGAAGGCCCTTTAAGATGTCCAGATTCATGATCCATTTTCATAAATTACAAGTGCATTGGATTTTAATATAATCTTTGCTAGGAACTAATTAATATTAACTGAAAATGATGGAAACCACAGAAATTTACAGGAACCCAGTAAGGCAGATTCTGAAAAGAACAATAAAGAGAGTAAAATTGACGAAAAAATATATATTCAATAAACAAGCCCTAAGAAAATACGCTTTTTGAAACCTGAACATGCTGATCTGGATATTTCCACCTAAACCACCGATAAAAATCCTAAAAAGAGAAAACCGAGAATTCACTTATTGGTTGACGGTACACTACAACCTTTGATCAGTTTCTTTTTTAGGAAGTATCCATTCGTGAAAATTCTATAGACACAAGCAAAACATACTTTGAATGTTTGTATGAAATATAAATATCTTAAATGCAAGGTAGTGTGATTAAAACACTCATCATACCACTAAACATTGATCATAAGTATAGATGCCATTAATTACTTGGACTGCGTCGTTCCCTCAGTAGTGGTACTCGTTTACACAGAAACGTCAGAAATGAAATCTATTTATGCATTCATAATGTCCGCCAACTGACGCTGACTTGAGAGGTTAACGTAACTGATAATTAACCATTCATAAAAAAATGAAAATGAAGGGTAAGACAAGTTAGTTAAGGATAGAAACAGTCAAATTTTACTCTGAATGCATTTTAAAACATTAGCAGCAATTCCTGAAGCTAAAAATTCGAAAATGTAGCACTGAAAACAAATTCAGTGGGTTTTAACCATAAAACTATCAGTCAGGCCATCAAGCCTCCTGTCTTTTTTAAACTGAAACTGTTGAGTAAAGTGAATACATGCAGTTTTATGGACACCACTTAGGCACTTTTCAAGACAGTTAATATCGCACTAAATTGCGACTGAAGTTAAAGAAGAAAACACGATGTGGGATATTAATTACTCCTGACGTGGATAATGATGCAATGACTATCGTTATCATTGATGGTAAACCTCTTCCATGCGTTCAAGAACATAAAGACTTAGTAGCAATAATAAGTAATGACCACAATTAGTTCTGTGTGATCATAAGTCTGGCACAGTGAAGGTTGAACATTAGTATTATTAAAGAGGAAACGAATGCAACTAACTTTGCGAGAAGCAGTCAGAAACCCAAAAAAATCCCCACGAGTGAGACCTTGATCAACCTTCAAAATGAGTAATTAAAACAAACCAAACATTGAATTCAAGGTTTTTTGAATAGGATTGATGAACCTTAATTTTTCAAGATTTGTACCCCGATAGTAGTATAAGAGTGTCAATCGCGATCGAGGGTCATCTATTTTTGTAACGACTTCATATAGCAGTCAGTGGCTGGAACGCCTTAACCAAATAAGTGGTATCAGCCCCATCAGTAAATATTTTCAAGGAGAAATTGGTCATTCACTGAAACGCAGTCTGTTAGGATTAACACAAGTTCACCAACCTACTATCCCTATTACTGAAGATTGTCTTTTTATTTAAGATGCCAAAAATAGTTTATTATTATCACTCGTGAAAAAATGCAACAAATAGCGAGGCAACAGTTATTACCATTAAAAAGCAAACTGAATCTATGGAGTTCATAGACTTAGTTAAAAAGCTCTGAGATTATTCAACTGATGAACTTTTATTGCCTGCATTACCAGTACTACAAATAATTGTGGGCATGTGCGTTACGTAACACAATGAGTCCTGTACGATCATAAGTTTGGCTTAGTGAAGGTTGAACATCAGTATTATAAGAAGGAAACGAATATAACTAATCTTGTGATGGGCAGCCAGAAACCCAAAAAAATACCTCACGTGTAAGACCTTGATCAACCTTCAAAATGAGTAATTAATACAAGCCAAACATTGAACTTCTAAGTTTGTTGGACAGAGTTGATGAACTTCAATTTTTAAAGATTTTTACCCCGGCAGTAGTAGTATAAGAGTGGCAATCGCGATAGAGGGTTATTCAGTATCACCTATCTTTGTAACGACCTTATATAAATCGATTGAATAATTCACTCTCGCTTCTTGTTGTTTCGATACAGTCGCAGGTTTTTGCAATGTCTAAATAGTGGTGATCTGGCCACTTGACCACACTAGTTATTTGTGAGTTCGCGTATCTTGTATTTTCAGTAAGTGTGTTTGGGGTGAATTTATCCGCAACGCAACCATGTAAACCTAACGTATCGCACAGGGTCATCTGTGCGTTCAAGCAACCACATATTTTGTCATTTCACAATGTAGATTATGTTGTTAATTTTGCTCTGTTTTTAATTTTTATTCGCCATGTCTGACTGCGTACTGTACTTTCACTGCACGCTGAGATGTTAACCCAAGTCATAGTGAGTTTAATCACATAGTTGATTGTTTCTAGATAGACCGTCAGTGCATTGTACTGAAGAAAGGTTCGTTGTACTGTAAACTATGTTTCTATGAACAACTGACTGTTGTCTTCAGTCGGAAAGCAATATATATATCCTTTGTCTTCTGTTTGGTAAGTTCAACTGGCCTACATTTCGTGTTTTGGTTTTATCGGCTTAATTATGTCCATTTAACTACTTTGAGCAACATGTCTGTGCAAATGAAACAATAACTATGACACTTGTTTAGTTTTGCATTCGTGATTGTCGTATAATTCAGTTTAGTTAAAAGAATTATGGTATACTTAAGTATAGTGCTTGAAGCCTGTAACGAAACAGATCAGTTTTGTAAGTAGAGTTGCCTGTTTCTAATGAGTATGCTGATTCAGATCAATCTGATTAAAAATACAAAAAAACGTTCCTTTGATGCTATTGCTGTCATACATTATAAGATAGCGATAATTATGTTTGTTGTTTATTTCTAGAATGTACATCTATCACTGATCACTGTCATTAAACAATTTCCCCAGCAATAACATCGGTAGCAAGATAGCTAAGCGTCTGAGCTTTTAGTTGCCTGCAAAACAGCAGTACACAGTCTTAGAAGATGAGTGTTCTGTGTCTCAATTAAATGCAGCTGGATGTGAACAAATGTTAAGAATCTTTTTGACAACTGGGACTTTTAGTTTATCAGACACTAACTCTTTGTATGTCTTCCTGTTAAACTAGACGCAGATGCATGGGAATACTTAAATAGGGGCAAGATAATAAAAGCATTGCAATACGGTATTAAGCCCATGTTATGCTTTGCACAAGTAATAGTAGCTGACCTTATCTAATATTCATGAACTCAAGGTAAATCACAACTGCATAAATTCTTTGCTAAAAAACATGTAATTTGTTTATTTATCTATTCCACATTTCTGACTAAATTCATCACTACTTTTTCATTTAGAATGCAACAGGAGTGAGTCTTCACATATCCTGAAAACTGTTTCGCCCTTGGAACTGTAGTGAATCACATTTATCACGAGAACACGACTGGTTTAATAAAAACAATTATTATTATAACCAACTGTACCAGTGTTTGTTTTAATGTGCTTTTTTTAACTGTGCTAAAAACATCCATTATTCTTACACTTTGATTGTGACTTTTCGCGAATTCGGTTACGTTCTGTAACCAAGCTTGTATCCTGGCACGATTTCGGTATCTTTTCGAAACCACGATATCGCCAGCAAATATATCTCGACTGCCTTCTCAACTGCCTTCTGATATTTGGCTTCCGGGGGATTTTATGGAGTCATTTGGTACGAGTTTCTTAGTAGCGGTGTTCATAGTCAATCTCCACTCGAAACCACGCCACAGAACAATGGCCCTATGGAACTGTTTACGGGAGACCCAACTGACAGCAGATTATAAAAACAATGCTGAAACCTGGTTTAAATCTTTGTTTGATATTCGATTCTTAATGAAAGTTCTTGAATACATTTTTGAATCTAATGCTACTTTGTTTTATTTACTTAATCGTTGCAAGAAACTTGTGATAAGCGAGCCTCTCAGCAACTAGTTCATTTGTTCAAATGGTTGTGGAATGAATAGAAGAAGCTTTCGTTTAACAAGCTTCCGTGTCACCAAAACCTCCAGTCAGGAACCTAGGTATGTTAACAATAAAAGAGGAAAAATGAATTGGTAAATCATAGTATGATACTATCCTTAATCCTTAAGAATAGATCCAGTTGCCTCTCGAAGGACTCCTGGGAAGTGGCTTGGACTAGCTCGGCGGGCAGCGAATTCCAGCATTTGACAACTCCTAAGGAGTAGAAGTTGCGTCTACAGTCCGTCCTGCTATATTGTGTCTTTAGTTTCTGGGTGTTACCCCTTGGGTTAATGTTGGAACTAAGCTTAAGTAGGTGTTTAAGAAAATGTCCAGAAGTGTTAAGGATACTGTAAGCCATTAAAAGGTCACCTCTAAGACGTCTATACTCTAATGGGTAGAGGTTAAGTGATTGGAGGCGCTCTTCATAAGGTGATTTGGCGCATGTCTTCGTCATTTTCTTGGGAAACCTACAGACTCGGGTCCTTTCACAACTTATTCTAGCCACAATGAGTTGCCACGGCAGCTGATGGATGGACACGTGTTACACATCCTAACCGTCCATGCGTCTTATCTCATAGCTTCTTGTTCAAATGTCATATGATAAGCAAGTAATGTCTTTAACAACATTGATGGAACACGAGTAACTCAAAGGCACCATTTATGGTACCTTACATTGGTATACGCACTCATTTAGTTCTTTTGTGAGAATAACACTACAGTCCTGCTAAAAATCCCATGAACGTCCTAACCCTATCAAAACAAATAAGTCTATATTTGCTGCATATAGTAATTTTATTTTTCAGAAGTAAGATATAACAGTTAGAATTGGAGTAAAATAGCAGTATACTGCAGATGTACGTGATACATGTCTTCATCGATTAACTGAACTAGAGAATACGAATATTAGCTTAACAGACTAATGTCTACTTTGAGCTTACTGCGTGAGAAAGTTATACTGTGACTATGAATAATGTAGGAATCTAGTCAACCAGGGTGTACGAAGCACTCAAACTGGAAGACAGTTGTCCAAAAATAATTCGAATATGGAGGTGAAAATTTGCAGGTAATTTTCATTGTAAGGGTGAACATATTAGATACCGGCTGACGTCATACCGTAAAAAAACAGGTTGTTGGTGAAATATGACCTATAAAACAGTTAGATTAATAACAGTTAATTACCCTTTTACTCCCTGATCACGACCCTTCGGCTGCCTTTTATGGCCAAAACAGCAAACATACACTGCACACTGATAGCAGATTTCCGGCTCTTCAATGTTTAGCTTGCTTTAACGCACTACGTATCGAGTACAATCCCTCCATTACTGCTGTATGACATATTTTTTACAACAAACCCTGTGCAATAGATTGGCAGTATCCGTGACTTCGTTTATGGTTGTCGGAAGTCTGGGTCATTTCAAAAACAATACTGATATCCCCTACTGCTGAGCAATCGGTATTAGTTTGACTCGGCGGGATAGTGTTGTCCATAATACTGAAGAAAATTAAAAATCGGAGATTATTTCCCTACATTTTGCCAATAACATCATAAAGGACAGTTAGAAAAGAACGAACATGCAGACAGTTAATCGCAGGCGGCAGCAACAATTATTTTAGCTAAAAAAACGAACTTCAGCTTTGGATATCTAGAAAACAAGTCAAAACAAAACCGATTACCATTTTAAAACATAAGACTAGCAAGCTTGGCTTAAGAAATTCATTGACTTGAGTAGAAGCAGTAAAAACACAATGCTGATTCGAAGTAAATTTCACATCATCATATAGAACATTACACTAACTGCGGCTTTTTAGCACATTGAAACGTTAAATTACATAGCTACACAAAAGAAATAGCTGAAAGAAGCACAGAACGAAAAAAGCCAACATCCGTTGCTTACAAAGATTGCGGATATAATAATTCCCGCCCCATTTTGATTGGTTGCTAAGCTGAAGGGCACATTTGCGAAGTTGAGTTGCGTTTAATTGCAGCCATATGTTTGCCTCAGACCGATTGCGTTTCTGGAACCAGCAAACATCACAATAAAAGAAATGAGATTGGTAGAATGTAATAGAGGGATAATTCGGACTTTTTACATTCCTCCGGAACCTGAAGGGCGAAATAAACCAGTAAGCATTAACAGTGATAGAAATATAAAATGTAGTGTGATCTCTCTCAGCACTCACAGAACCAAAGTAATCGTCGAACCTTATTTTCAAAGATTTGTCAAA